AAGCATCTATTCCCTTTGAAATGAAAATAAAAAGCAATATAGCTACCTCCAGTAAACATATTACTATAACGCATTAATAGAATGTAACTGTACTCATTTGTAACATCTTAAAAGACCCCTGGTCAGGTCAGCAGTCTCAGTTTGGGACCTTTGCACAGCCAAAGGTTTTATTATGTGGTTTTCCATTTCTGGAGCCACCAGTGGGAATCACCATTTCACATGTTGTTTAGTTTGGACTTGTTGCATCTATGATCACCATGCAAGCACACCAGGTAGACATGCTCCCTTTTAGACCTTTGCCAATGGTGATAGGAATGAGGAACATATTCGCTGGAGGATCTGACACTTTTTTTACAACGTTTTCCTCTTTATATCCACATTCTTCACACAGTTAGAAAGCATGCACGTTAGAACAGATGGTTACTGAAAACACTACATATTTTATAAGGGTAATCATGGCTAATATATGAGATGAGCACAGTTTTTCTTTAGTTTCCAAAAATACTCTCATATAACCAGTTTTGGTCTTTTGGAAAAAAAACAAAAACATTTGTTATGTTAGATTTCTTTACCAATTATTTCTGCTGAGTGGGTCATTACTCCTGATTACTGCAGTCATAGAGAAATCAATAATGAAGTCATCATGATGGACACTTAATTATCTGACTCATTTCGTACATTAGTATGCAATGCTAAAAAACTGAAGCGGTTGAGAAAAAACAAAACAAAAAAAAAACCTAAATGCCCAGTATTTGTCAAAGGGATATTTGTGCACCACAAAAAAATGCCATGATGCCGTTATTTTCGTTACATGATTCATAAATCCACTCTGTAACTCTTAATGTATCCGTTAGACTAACATCAGTACTATCACTAGCTGATTCAGGAGAGAATATCTGCCCTCTTGGCTTTATATACTGTTTAGAACACTAAGTTGAATAGGCTTAATTTTCTTAAAGAAACACTCCAAGCACCATTACTACTACAGCAATCTGTACCTGTTTCTATGGAGAGCATCAGTCATGCAGGCTCATTTGCATTCATAGTTTCAATACACTTTTTCCTCACTTTAAATTTCCAAGCCAGTCCGGAAAATGATATACAATAAAGGGCAGATATAAGGCGTAACTGTAGGAACTGCCTCCCCCTTGTGTTTAATTCAGACACCAATCTTTATAATGTAGTGTCTACAAAAACATGCTCATCCTCTGCTGTGCCCCTGATACAGAAATATATATTTTCACCTATGAAATGGTCGCAATTTATCCATTTCATACCCATCTTGCAAAACCTGTCTATGACATGATAAAGCAGGTGTACCAATTTCTTCAAAAAGGCTTAAGTTACAGTAATCAAGTCTGTATTCCATTTGTAGGGTACACTGTCGCCATTATCAATATGTATACCAGTAGGTAGAATTAGTCAACTCTGAAATATTTTTACAGGTTTTTTTTTATTAGACCCCTCGGCAGAGTATTGCTTCCTGACTGGTAATGATCACTTAGCATTTCAAAAAAGACTTCTATGAGGCAACACAGGCAAATGGGGTACAGTCATCTAGTCTGGTAAAAGATAGACCTAAGGTCAGTGTATGTTTAAAATTTCACACCTGGCAGAGGACTCGGTTGGAGCCCCAGCTTCAAAAGAGGAATTCATGTTGCTGGGCATGATAATAATGTAACCATAAATAAAAATGGTGCAGTTCTATACCGTATTCAGGGAAAAACCGAAACATCTCCAACTTGAGAAAGGAATCCCATGTATATCTTAAACTAGCAGCCCTATCTCCCTTGCCATGTGTAGATGTGAACAGAAGTTTCATAAAGTAATTATCCTGTACCATGTTGATTCATTCTCTCACAGTTAGAGGGTCCTTCTTCCTCTAGTGGGGAAGAACCAAACATTCTCGATCTTTGACCTGGAGAACTAAAGCCAGGGTCAATATTGTTGTCAGACTGGTGAATAATGACTCTTTGAATTACCTCCCATGAGGGGCATATACATTTACAATCCCACCAAAAGTGAGAATAGGTTTATACCCCTTCTTTACACTTGCAGCACACATTAGGGACTCCAGGAAAGATTTTATTTTATGTATTTTTTTTTTTTTTACAAATGTGTACATGCTTTAAAAGCAGACTCTATAGCAGTGATGGCGAACCTATTGTATGCGTGTCACATCTGGCACACCGAGTCCTCTCTGTGGGCATGCAGCCATAGGTCACCAGTAGGGTGCCGACATGTCCGGATCACCCAGGACCAGGGCCAGCGCCTTCTATAGGGGACGCCAGATTTGAGTGACCCGGTAAGAGGGAAGCGCACAGTGCTCCCTCAAGCCAGTCAATCTGAATAGCATGGCCAGGCGGCACTGACCGCCTGTACCCAGCCCAACTGAAAGGAAGTGCTCACTGAGAAAGTACTTCCTTTCAGTTCGGCCGGGTACAGGAAATAAAAGCTCCTGTACTGCGGTCCGCGCAGCCTGGCCACGCTACACAGGGAGGTAGGGTGCACAACAGGGAGGGGGGTTGGCACTAAGGGGAGGGGGAGAGAGGAACACTAAAAGGGAGGGAGAGACAACTAAAGTGGGGGAGAATAGTGACCACTAAAGGGGAGACCACTAAGGGGTTGGGGGGAGAGGAATGAACATTAAAGGGGGGTAGAGGAGTGACCACTAAAGGGGGGGAGATGAGAGACAACTAAGGGGGTGGGAGGAGAGGAGAGGCACCTAAGAGGGAGTGGGGAGAAAAGTGACCACTAAGGGGGAGGAGGGAGAGGACCACTAAGGGGGGAGGAGAGGAGAGGACCATTAAGGGGGGGAGAGGAGAGACCACTAAGGGGAGGAGGGGAGAGTAGAGACCACTAAAGGACTGTCAGCATACTAGTTGATCCAGCACGCAGAATTGTGTCACACCTAAAACTAAAGGTAATGTCTTACCGGGCCTTAGAATGGCCGGACTTAACATACCAGAGAATAATCAGAATACTTGCCGAGGTCAGTGACACAAAAACCAGAAACAGCTGGTTTTCAGTGTGGTCACGCCGACAGAAGCCTCCGGCACCATGACAGTACCCCCCACTTCAAGACCACCCACTGGGTGGGCAGGACCATGTTTGAGGGGGAATTTGGTGTGAAAACCACATATCTGAAGCAACCTTGGCACTTTATAAATTTTTCTCGATACTGGGACTTTCATAAAGTAGGAGAGAGGGGACACTCCATTAACTCCATAAGTGCTTCAGTAAGAAGAAAGAGATTCTAGAGTTCAGTTCCAATACTTTATTTGTATAGCATTTAGGAGAATAATTTTAATGTACAATGAGAAAAATGTGTCCAAACAATTTATCTGATGATGTAGGCAATTGGTAATTTGTTAATATATATATATATATATATATATATATATATATATATATATATATATATATAGTTAATACAATGCTAAACAAAAATCTGCACACCAGTCAAGCCATAAGACTTGCTTTTCCCACAGAAATCCCAAATCAGCAGTGATGTTACAACCGCAAAGGATTCTGGGTGGGCATATGCAAATTAGTTTAACAAAGAATCACATTTTTGCCTCATTCCATTTTAAACATGGATTCCTTTTAATTTGTGTTTGCAGTATACAACTGCTTGAAACACAACTTAGGATAAGATGCAAAACCAGTGAACCACTCATGGACAGCTGTTTCGTTGTTAATGCAACTCTTCAGCATGAGTGGTTCACTGGTTTTGCATCTTATCCTAAGTTGTGTTTCAAGCAGTTTTTGTATACTGCAAACACAAATTAAAAGGAATCCATGTTTAAAATGGAATGAGGCAAAAATGTGATTCTTTGTTAAACTAATTTGCATATGCCCACCCAGAATCCTTTGCGGCTGTTACATCACTGCTGATTTGGGATTTCTGTGGGAAAAGCAAGTCTTATGGCTTGACTGGTGTGCAGATTTTTGTTTAGCATTGTATTAACTATCCAAATACTTCAGGTGGAAGGGGTTTTCAATCACAATTTTTCCCCACCATAACCTATTTGGATTTTGATATATATATTATATTGTGGATCTACATTCTGCCCGCATGGGCACTCATTCTACCCTCCAACACCAAGCAATCGCGTAACCTAGAAACATCTTCCAAAATAAAGACTTGCCACTCAATCTTCTCTCAAAATATTCTCCTGGAATGTAAAGGTTGCAAATACTCCTCTCAAAAGAAAGAAAATTCTCACATACTTAAAACACCAGCCACATATAACCATCCTGCAGGAACTGCCAGTACTCCGCTTAATGCTCCATGGATTATTTCTTGCATATTGGCGTGGCAATCCTGCTACATTTAAGTCTCCAATATGTAATACAGAGCTGTGATACTGATGTTATGTTATACTGTCTTACTGTTAATGCTACTTGCTATTGCACTGTTATTGTATATGCACCTCCTCCGCTCCCTTTTTTCATAAAACTTTAAACACTGCTTACCCACGTCAATAAAGATCAGATTATATAGTGGTCTCCTGGTCTATTTATAAAAGTATCATGCTCCCCAAAAGTCCTGGTTTCATCAGGACAGTCCATCACGATTTTGTTACCTGGTGTCCCACATCTGGGAACACCATAGACATGTCCTTGGGTAGCACAGCATAAGTGCATCATTAGATGCATTAGTGCTATCAATGGGCACTAGGACCCTGCAAAGAGTGCTTCAGCAGCACTCTCTGAAAGGTCTTGTTGATCGGAGGCCGGCTAGACAGTCACGTCATTGGTAAAACCCGAATTGGACCTGATCACTCGTCCCAATCTCTTACTTCCCAATGTATGAAGTATACATCAACATGTGCTTTTATGTGCTCACTGTGCAAGTCACGGGAAAAAAAAAATATACCACTTAATATTATAATATTATTTTTAAAACAAATAGATTGGTGGTGAAAGGAGTAAGACATTACTTAAAAATGCTTTATCAAGGCAAAATTTTACAATAGTTCTTTCTCTGTTTACAGGATTCTGTCCTTGGAGCCTGTTCAAGAGGGTGCAGATTGTTTTCAATATGCCACTTTGTTGATGTAACTGCTGAACTCAACACCACAAGAGTTGAATGTGAATCAGGTAATTTGTTCCCCCCTTATGTTAATTATCTGTAACCATATGTTTCTAAAAAAAACATTCCATTAAACCTTACCACAGTAGCTTGAATATAACCTTAATGTTGTATTTAGAACTATTTCTGTTTATTAGCAGGTATATTTTCGATCCGTGTGCACTCATATATTTAATTTGCTGTTTTTCGTTTTGAAGGGTTGACTTTTTGACAAAATCTTATGTTAGTCCTTCACTATTATTCAAATCAGGATTGGCATCCTCAGATACATATTTCAAATATGAAATAACTTAAGACAATTTTTAACACTGCTTTAGGAATTTCCCTTTTTAAGACCATTTTACAACCGTAGCCCTATTATGTGCAATATTCGGGATTTTGTGGAAAGTGGGTCATTGAAATTCAATCAAAGCAACAAAAGAATGGCTATAATGATTGGTAGTAATAGGAAGATAAGCTGTCTTGTCACAATGGATACTTAGCACACCCTCTTGTTCATTCAGACTTTTGCCAGACTTGTCAATGTACTTTATCTACATTAGAGATGCACATCCCTACGTAAAGATGAAAATATACCTGATGTGAAGCCCACACACTTGGTACTTACCTTTCCAGCTAAAGTGCAATCCCAATACCTCCTTTTAACACACACAGTGGTACCTTATTATAGACATCATTTACCGTTTGCAGTTAGAGAATTCCTAGATCCTGAAATATTATTGTGAGATGAATCTCAATAACAATTTGTGCAAGTCAGGAAATTCAGAAATTCTGTCACTTATTTTTACAAATATTCTAAAAGTAAATGAATGTTACTCCTTTCTAATTGTAATCCCTTTGACAATTTGCCTGTGGTGATGTTTGTAATAATGTTGTAATATGTTTTATACTGCCTTTGTTTGATAACATCATCCTTTTTCAGGACCGTCCTATCTCATACTAAAAAGGGTCTTAGATCACTTGCAGAGGGCTATATATGCTTTATTTGGGGCAACAAGAGGATGGTTAGAATTGACAGAAAGGTCTTGTATTATCCCAAGAGTGCCATGAGTCTGGGACTTCCTAATCTTCTTATCTGTTATAATTCTGCTTAACTAGCGCAAATAGTCCTATGACTTCCCCCCCCCAGATGGATTTAGAGACTATGCCTATGGGTTCTGATCTACATCAGTTCTACATGTGGTTGGATAGGTCACAAAGGATTCTGCTTATGGCTCACTGCCCAACTACTTTATACTCTTTAGATTTATGAGATAAGTAAAAAAAAAAAAAGGTTTTCTTTCACTTTCACACATTCTCCTATTGCCACTTTCTTTTGCAACAGAGATATTCTCCCAGGTATGGTGCCTAGGGACATTGGGGACTAAGATGTTATCTTTTAGTGGTATTCCTTCCGGTATATCAGCATTTGTAATGGAGCTCCCTGTACCCCCTGTAGCGACTGTGGGCAGAAGTGCTGCGGTTTGTCCCCTGTTCCAGCTAGGAAGCGGTCCTTGGCGGAGGTACCAAGTCAGGGTACAGGGAGCTCTGCTACACTAGCATTCGGTTCTATGCACATGAATGGAAAGTGGGGAACTAGGGGGAATAAAATATGGGTCTTTACAGTCACTGACCTGGCCCATAGTCGGTGGGCAGGAGGCCAGCTTCCACACTCCTCCAGGAGTCTGTGGAAAGCGCTGTTTGTCACACTCCACACTGGAACAGTGATTAAAGAATAGCCCTTTCCCCAGACAACACATAGTTCTGGGAGTACAATACCTTTATTGGCAGCCACAACTGGCCTTATATGCAGGTCCCCATGCAAGGGGCACTCACTCTGGACTTGAGAGGAGACTACATTAAAAACATACACATGATTACATTGACTCTCAGGTCCAGGACACTCCCACACAAAACAAGATAATCCCTCACCTGTGTCTGGGAGATAATTGAGTCAGGAACTAAATTATCTCCAGGCACAAAAATCACACATTTCACAAACACCCCAAAAATACCTTAAAAATGCATAAAAACCCCTGATCTGGGTGACCAACATGTAAAAATCACCCAGATCGGTTCAGGAATTTCCTGGAAGTCATAACTTGACCGACCGCACGTTTCCACCGAACAGTGTCTTTCTAAGTGTTGTAGAACCGAACACAGGCATTAATGGAAGTCCAGCAGTGTTCAGGAGTTTCAGTGTCCGAAAATAGTTCCATGAACTCGACGACCAAACATCTCTGCTTGTATTCATGTGAACAAGATGGCTGCCACCTCTTGGTCATTCATAGGAAAATGCGGCCACCCAGACGAACACTTAGAACACTGCGATGGAAATTGTATCAATTAGACTTAACAAGCTCCAGGGTGGTCTTCTGTTCGTGCAGCTGGCATGAAACAACCTGGATGCACTCCCCCCTGGTTGGACCAAGTTGTTGCTGGGATGGAGGGCGCAGTTTCCCTCATCCGTGCCTAGTAGGCAAATGCCAGCGGCGCTCTGCCCCATAGCCAGTGGTTCAGCTGGGTTGGTTGGTGGGCCGTCAGGCCCCAGAACAAAGGGATAGGTAGGGCAGCGGCCAGCGGCGCTCTGCCCCATAGTCAGCGTTTCTACTGAAGGGGACTGGGAACAGCCTGGTTCTGCAACAACAGGGTAGATTGGGCATAGGCCAGCAGCGCTCTGCCCTGTAGCCAACGTTACAGCTGGGGTATCCTGTGTAACATCATGCTCTGGATAAAGGGAAAGGGGCGGGCAGAGACCAGCTGCTCTCTGCCCGGGTGCCAGCTTTTCCGCAAGGAAGGTGTCAGGGGAGGCTGTAGTTCCCTCGACTGCACCTAGAACATGGTTGGGAATTGGTTGCAGGAGAGAGGAAACAACTACCCCCTCTCTCTGGCCTTCCTGCTGTGGCTGGGGAGCAACGACACCATGGGGAAGACTGCTGCTGACATCCTCATCATGGCCGGGATTCCGCAGTTGGGGATCTGGGTAGGCTGCCCAGCATCCCTGTAGGGCTGGTACAGAACCTCGGTCCCATCTGCACCATCCATGCCCGCAGGCTGGCCTCTAGACGACAGGCCCAGCTGCTGGGGAGTTGGACCAAACGTCTCCACTCCCTGTATCTTTCCCTATAGTTGGGGAGGCGGACCGACTGTCCCCTCCCAAGGTGTCTCTGGCTGCCGTTGGGGAGAGAGACCAACTGTCTCTTCTCCCAATAACACACTCTGCCGCTGGGGAGGAAGGATGACACACTTCTCTCCCTGTAACTTGCTCGGACACTGGGGAGGCAGACCGACTGTCCCCACTCCTAACATCTCCATCTGTGCAGGCTGCCCAGCATTCCTGTAGGGCCAGTGGAGAGACCTTTGTCCCATCTCCACCTGCCAACTGTCTTCCCAGGACCAGTTGATAAGGTCTCTTTCTCTGGGGCTGGTTGGGAAGTAGGTGGTACAGTACCTGGCTCTGACAGGCTTAGCTGCTGGGGAGGAGGGACGAAACTCAATGCTCCCGGTGGTATACAGTCCATAAGCCCCATCATGTCGGAAACAGGTGGGGTTACCCTTTGGAGTAAGCGAGCATAGTCATGTTCAAGCCCGCACTCCAGGTTAACCAGGTAGGACAGATCCAGTTGTAATTCTACAACCAATGTAAGCCCTAAGCTTACTTCCCACTTGTTGCGGATGCACCCGTAGCGGTACTGTCTAGGTTTTCAAAGCCCAGGGGATCCTCAAAAGCCTCCCACAACAGCCCGGGCCCAACGCAGTCCTTTCCCATGGGGCACTGGTAGGGGAGTAGCCCTGCATGCCACCTCCAGACCCGGTAGGATTCATCCAACCATAACCTCAGATCGGTTCAAGGGTTCAGGAATTTCCTGGAACTCATGATTTGACAGACTACATGCATGGTCCCATGCCCAAAACAGTTCCAGAGAATCAGGGCTTGCGGTCAGTCTAGTTCGGTAGTTTAAAAACCGAACAAACTACCGAACATAGTCAATGTTCTTACCCCAGAGCTTGTTTACCTTGTTCGTGGGAATGTTTTCACCGAACAGTGTCTTTCTAAGGATTATAAAACCGAACACAGGCGATCATGGAAGTCCAGCGGTGTTCGGGAGTTTCAGTGTCCAAAAATAGTTCCTCGTGGTCGTCCATAGGAAAATGCGACCACCCAGACGAACACTTAGAACACTGAGGTGGAAATTGCTACAAAGTATCAATTCGGCTTAACAAGCTCCAGGGTGGTCTCTGGTTCGTGCGGCTGTTCAGTTCCCGAATCATATAGTCCAAATACACGAACGGAGACTTTTACATTACAGTTTACAGGGTTCATAGTCTGTTGGCAGGAGGCTGGCAAGCAGGCTCCTCCAGGGGCAAACTAACTTGGAAAGGGGAGTTTGTCACATTTACCCTTAATAAAATGTTGTATCAAGGGTATACATTGAATACATAAAAGAAGGAAACAAAAAGGAATATATTGTGTATGTAGATGGTAATACACATGAAATTGATGTAATAAATGATAAGATCCACTCACATGGACCAAAGCCTGTAACTACTGGCTCTGTCATCAACACCTTTATGCCTTTATGGTAGCATACCACCATCCATCAAGTGGGTCTTTTCTCCCTTTCAGCTTCGGTCTCTGCACTGCCATACTGCCTCCTTGGCTGAGATCACCAAGACTGATCTCAGCCAATCCAATGCTTTTACACTGCAGGGATGAAACTACAGGGGAGTTGAGATTAAGTGGTCTGGATGGCTATAGTGTCCTTTTAATGATTTCAGAGTTTACCCCTTTTGTGTAGCTGGGTTACTTGGGAGTTTTGTAGTGTACGGTGCCCAGCTTAAAGTAAAGACCATCAAGTGAGAGCAGAACCAGAAAGAGTTAAAGGAACTTTGTGGCATTAGGAATACAAACCAGTATTTTTAACACTATTGTGCCCAGAATAAGTTAAGTTAATATGCACAATCACTTGGATACTATCGCTGTGTATGTGCAGTACAATTATCAGGAGACTTATACATACTCTCATAGCTCTAAAAAACATTACTTTTGCGTTTGGATATCAATTCCAGAGGATTGCCATTTCATCTCTGCATTTGAGTCTACCAAACGGAGAAACTGAACCCTTACAAAAAATGCATTCATGAGGACAGGGAAACCCTCCATTTTGCTTTCAAAATGAGTCTGCCCCTTCTCACATTAAGTGCTTTGCTTCCTATTTTTCTGACTACAGCTTTGTAGCTTTGAAAATTAAATATCAATCTTTCAGTTTTAACAGAAAACTTTCATCAGGACCTGTGATTAGGGTGAATGCGACCAGTTTGGTGAATGTGACTAGGTGGGTGGTTGGATGATAAGTGGGACAGGGGTGGGAGAGGGTGTGTATGTGTGTGGAGGCTGCTTCTGGTGTTGTGTTGGTAGAGGCTGGTTGTAGGGTTGTATGTTTGTCGGTTTGTTTGTGGGGGTAGCTGGTAATGTTATTGAGTGTGTGCGGGCAGACTATTTGTGATCTTACTTATTTGTGGGGGTGCTGCTTTTTGGGTTTTGTGTGTGGGGGGGGCTGCTTGTAGGGTTTTGTGTGTGGGGGGGGAGGGTAGTTAGGTTTGAGGTTAGAGAATTCCTAGATATGTGTGCGCATGTAAATAAGGCAATAAGAGCTGTATGTGGATTGGGGCTGTAGTGTGTGTGTGTGTGTGTGTGTGCGTTGTGGGGAATAGGTGCTATAGATTGTGTTTGCAGGGGGTTCGGGGCTGTATGGTGTGTTTGTGGGAATCGGGGCTGTAGGGTGTGTTTAGGTTTAGTGTGTGTTTGGGGGGAATTGTAGGGGGGATTGAGACTGTAGTGTGTGTTTCAGGTGAAATTGGAGCTGTAGTGTGTGGGAATTTGGGCTGTAGTGTATGTGTGGGGGCTGTAATGTTTGTGTGCGAGGGACATAATGATTAGTGTATGTGTGTGGGGGTAGCAGCTGTAGTGTGTGATAGGGACAGTTGTGTGTGTTTGGGTGTGATAGGAAGAGAGTCTGTTGTGTGTGCTGAGGGAGAGAATTAGGCTGCTGTGTGCATGTATTAAGTCAAGAATAGGGACTTCTGTGTGTCTTTCGGGGGGGTGTAAGGACTGTTGTGTGTGTGTGTGTGTGTGTGTTGGGGGAATAAAGAGGCTGTAGTGTGTGTTGAGGAGTGATAGGGGCTGTTGTATGTTGGGGGGAGATATTAAGAGGAGTATTGGAGGGAGGTTAAAAAAAAAGTTACCTTAGTCTACGTTGGACGAGAGAGGAGGGTAAATTAATCCAAAGTGGTCCATTGGGTATATCATTTGGTCTGAACCTTTGGCGGGTGCAGACTGCTTGTATTGCTTCTTCCAGCAGAAGGTTGTTATGGTACTCCATGGCAACTCTTCCAGGAGCAATACACTTGGAAATGCAAATAAAAAGCATCTGCCCTCCTCCTCCACTCCAGCATGAGAATGTGTTGGCTGGTAAAGGAAATTTTTGATCTCCTCAGCGGCTATGATGCCCCTCTCATGCCTGCTGCTCAAGGCCAGTCTTGCACTAAGCTGAGTTGCATATAAAACATCTACTATTGGTGAAATAATTGTGAAAGGCCTGGAAGCTATAACCTGCTGTATGGAGGAGAAGATTAGTTCACAAAATGTAAAATAAGGAACATTTTGTCTTCTTATAATCATCCATATCCTGTATTTTGTTTTTAATAGCCTGCGTTGAAGCATACGTCAAGGCAGATGAGCAATATGGATGCATCACCGGCTGCAGAAAACAGCTCCCTGAAGTGGAAAACCAGAAAGAAAAAGTATGTACACCCTCCCTCTTTAATGCAATATTACACATTAGACAAATAAAGAATTGCATGCGAATATGACTTGAAGCTTGACCGACAGTTTAAATAAATGAAGTGAAAATAATGTGTGGTTTGGAACACATGGTTGTATGGACAAATATGGTGAAATCTCAGAATTAAGTAGGAAGGATGCAATAAAGCACACATGTCATGTTTGTATTTTTAATAAAGTTATCCATATATCATTTATTTAAAAATGGGAGGCACAGCTAGCACATCAATATAGAATAGAACAGAAAGTTTGCTTCTAAATTACTTTTTAGTGATAAGTGCAAAGTAAATTTATAACTATTTGTTATATACAGTATGTGTGACAAATATTGTCAAAACTAGTCAAATATTCTGCTTATGGGTATAAATAAGGACAGGGCCAGATTAAGAGCCCAGTGGGCCTGGTGCTGACAATTAGGACGGGCCTAATTACAGAATCATATCGACCAAAAACAGTAAAACACTCCCAAGCGTCATGTATCTGATGGAGATGGTGCTGGAGAGAAAGAAAACAGCAGCTATAAGAAAACACATACCCTAGGCTAATCTCTCTCTAATTTATGTTTTCATCTTTCAAGTAAATCCATAACCCCTAACAGCAGTGTCCAGTCAGGCAGGAAGTCAATGGGCACGGTAAAAGGGTGTGCCACTGACACAAATCACGTAACCTGCCAAAAGGGGCGAACATGCCCAAAAAGAGGACATGTCTGCCCAAAGAATTAGAAGGCCAATGAATGCATGTCAGGCTGCCTGCCAATCATGCAGCTGGCCAACTAAGGGCATACTATGCAGACAGCACCCTGAGCTTGGCATAAATGCATCTAATGATGCGCTCACTCAACGCTTTCTAAGGACTGTTCCCTGCACTCGCTGGTCCACTTACCTTCTTACTAGCAGGCAGAAGCTCCTGGTATATAGTCTGGGACAGAGAAAAGCTGTATGTAGTGAGTGTAGAAGAAAGGGAACATGCCACAGTGTTAGAGAGACCAAAGTCAGCATTACCTTAAAGGATCACTATAGGGTCAGGAACACAAACATGAATTCATGACCCTATAGTGTTAACACCACCATCTAGCCCCCCTGGGCCCCTCATGCCTCCATAAATATAGCAAAATCTTACTATATTCAAGCCTGAAGCTGTAACTCTGAATGCTGTTAGACTCATAAAAACAAGCAGTCTGCTGACATCATTAGAAGTGGTGGCCTGATCCAATCACAGTGCTTCCCCATAGGATTGGCTGAGACTGACAAAGAGGCAGATCAGGGTCAGAGCCAGCATGATTCAAACACAGCCCTGGTCAATCAGCATCTCCTTATAGAGATGAATTGAATTAATGAATCTCTATGAGGAAAGTTCAGTGTCTGCATGCAGAGGGAGGAGACACTGAATGTTTGGATGCATTTTAGGCAGCCATGACCCAGGAAGGATCTCTAACAGCCATCTAAGGAGTGGCCAGTGAAGTTATCACTAGGCTGTAATGTAAAGACTGCATTTTCTCTGAAAAGACAGTGTTTATAGCAAAAAGCCTGACGGAAATGATTCTACTCACCAGAACAAATTCAATAAGCTGTAGTTGTTCTGGTGACTAAAGTGTCCCTTTAACTATATTCATTGTCAGCCAGTCCACACAAGTTTTGTTCCCATACTTCACTCTTAAGTTTCCATACTTAAGTAAGAGTATGTGAAAAGTAGTTAGGGTTACCACCTTTCTTGGAAAAACATACCGGCCTTACTAATTTGCATAATTAAATATGTATGGGTGACATCACATGTAAATCACAAGGAGTGACATAAGAGAAAATTCTGTAAAATCACCAAAAAACTACTTAGCTTGATTCTGCTGTATAGATGGATTCCTCCCAGTGCCCCCATGTCTCCCACTGCCCTCATGACTCAGTGCCGCCAAGTGTCGATTACTCCAGGTCTCAGTGTTCCTATGTATCAGTGTCTCAGTGCCCCATGTCTCCCAGTGTCTCCTAGTGTCGTGTCCCCAGGTCTCCCAGTGATCCTATGATCCTATGTATCACAGTGTCTCAATGCCCCATGTTTCCCTTTGTCCCCATGTCACTAGGAAGATGGGGAGACCTGGGGACATGGGGAGACCTTGGGACATGTAGACACCAGTGACACTGGGAGACTAGGGGACTCTGGCTGGGACACATTGGGACAATGGGAAAATAGGGGACACTTGAAGACATGGGGACACAGGCACCAGGGACACAGACACTAGAGACACAGGCTGGGGGACATGGGGACATTGTGACACTTGAGGCACTGAGAGACATGGAGGCACTAGGAGACATAGGGACAGTGAGACACTGGCAGACTGGGGTCACTTGGAGACTAGGGGGCACTGGGAGACTAGGGGGCACCGAGACACCAGGGACACTGGCTGGGAGACATGGGGACACTGTGTCCCCATGTGTCTGTGTCATAATGTCTCCCAATGTCCCTTAGTGTCTCAGTGTCCCCATGTCTCCTTGCAGCCTTTCCCCCCATCCATTACTTCCCTGAGCTGTAGGCTGTCTCTGCAGGGTGGGAGTTGCTGTCTGGACTCTCTGTAGCTGCTCCCCTGCAGATCAGTGAGTATAGATGGGCAGGGAGGGATATGCTGGAACTTCCTATCCCTGTCTGTCTCCACACACAGCGACCCCTACTGGCCAGTGTTGGTATTGCATAGTAATAGTCAGTTTATACTGAGAAAAATACCAGCATTTGTATTGCCAGTATCACTGCAATATTGGCACCAGCCAGGCAGCCTCAAATACTGGCTGTGTCAATAAAATAAAAGGCAGGTGGAATCCCTAAGAGTAGTGTGTGGAGAAAAAAAAATGTAAAAAAAAAAAAATTTTTTTTTTTAAATCAATGGGCCTATTACATGGGCCTGGGCCTGGAGCTGCAGCTCCATCAGCCCCTATGTTAATCCGGCCCTGAATAAGGAGCATGCTGGCATTTGATATTACAGTTGCATAAAATTGCCAACAGAATGTAAAGAGAATGTCTGCATGGAGTAGTATACTTACACTTAACAATTTTATGAAAGTAGGCCCACAGTGAGGCGAAAAGCCGAGAGGAAACGAGTGTGGATATCCCCACCACCACTACACTCTGCATTTACATTGTCTTGCGTGCGTAAAGAAAATAGAATATGGATAATTGAGCAAGATCTTCCATAGTTAATTGCTCATCTATCTGTTACAAACAATGTCATCCTTACTTTGTTTCATGTATATCTTTAGATCGAGTTGGGATCTGTCTTGGTATTTTTCATAAACCGTTTATCTTTTGTGGGAGGAGCTTAGCATCAGTTATGTGCAGACTCCATTTTATGCTGCTTTTGAATTTAATCGCAGAACCTACAGATTATCTTCGAAACACCCAGTCACCTATAATATTTTATTAAATAAAGCCACTCTGCTCCCCTTAGGCCTACCGTCCTGAGCCTCTTGATGCAGTGATATACAACAATGGGGGTTTGGTTGCCTGGAGTACATGACTTCTCTAATGATAACTGTTCTGCTTGTCCTGAGATGGACCACATATTGCAAAAATCACAGACACTTATCTCTAACGACTCCAGTGACATTAGCAACATTATATTGCAACAGTCATGCAGCAGCTCCTACAGTCGGGTCAGAAGATACCACCAAAAAGGACATTCACAATTTATTTACAGATATTCAAAAGGTGTTTGTGGCTGATTTGACATTAGTAAAGGTGGGGGTGCAAGCAGTCACTACCTGCTTCTAGCCTTCAGGTGAAGACTTTTTGGATTTTTGGCAAGTCCTGACTTCCCTAGGGAAACAGTATGCATGCAATCCCTACACACCACAATCTTACTCTGTCAGTTGATGGAGTTTCTCATATCTCCAATTTCTGTTCGCACCAAGTTTGCCCATAGAGATGTCATTCTACGCTGTCAGTCCTGTGAAAGATAAACATCACTTAAGGGCTGCACATCTAGGGAAAGCAACACATGATTTTGAGTCGCTCCAACACACCTTTTTCCAAAATGAACTCACCCATCTGATTAGATGCATTTTCATATTTTATTAATCACATAATCATTTCTCCACTTGGCCAGGGGCATTTAAGCTACACAGAGCCTATTCTTAACAGCCAAAGGCATATGTTTTTCTTAAAGCATTGTAGCATTTCTTCCCATTTAGTAGCCTCATTAGTTTATGTGAAATTATATTAATCAGGATCTTACCCTGCTCGTAGTTAGAGCTCATGTTTTATAATTCATTCATATATTCATCTTTAGTTTTTTTCTAGTTTCTTTTACATATAAATTTTTTTGCATTGTAAGGTATCACCCACAAAAATTTAATCAAAAACCTAAAAAACACAGACATGACAATGACTACTATTGTTATGTTCATAAATAATGTATCTGTCAATAATAAAAATTATTTGGATATGTTTTCATGAATTTTATTACAGATTCAGACATTTTAAAATGTGAATATTTTTTTAAAACATGTTATATCCACCTATTGTTTATTTTTTTACATACCAGTTATTACTGCGATACATTTTCTGATTATATGTTATATGCACTATAGCTGTTATTGAAGCATGTTCTGGAGGACAGTCTTTCCATGCGATTTTACTAGGTTATGCTCTGCACGATCTGAGTTAGTGGCAGAGCTGTCATTGACCATTAGACAAAAATAGCTAGTGTAAGTACACAGTCAATAGTAAGACAACATTTTCTGTTGGCTATTCACAACAGGAAGATGCAGACCTCAATCCATCAGCTTGAGAGACAAATCAGAATGCAGACTTTGACATCCACTAAACAATGGGCCAGTATCACACAGTTTATTGTAATCAGCCTCGATGTGTTGGCATGTTCACCCTTTTGGAATGTACCGCTGATAGCCTGATACTACAGCTATCACTGTGCAATATGGGTCCATGCTGTAAGTTAAATATTACCAATTTCTCAAGTCTGCAAATGCAAGTTAACCAACTATTTATGTATTTAAAAGGTAAAAGATGCCTAACAGCTAATGTCATAAAAGCTTATTTTGAAAATACTGTGGGTTCTAGGTAATCAATTAATTTGTATCTGGTTATTGGGGACGTGGTACATTTTCTGTTTCTCCCAAAGAGGATGTAATTTTGGGATCTCCGATATTAGGAAAATATTTGACCTTTAATACACAAAGTTATCCCTTATCTTTAAAATGTATTATCAATACCAAATTGCCTTTATTTATATCCAGATCAATTCAAGTATGCATGATTTACATGAGAACTCTTTTTGGGTCTTTAATAGCTTCATGAGCACAGGGCTCATGTCTTTAGTCAGTATTGTCTGAATTCCTAAGTCAGGGCGAGATGGGACTTGAGGCTAATTATACACCAAGTTCCTTAATTAATTCTGATCTAAAAGCTTTTGCTAAAATTTTGTCGGAAAGGCATAACTCATTGCTCGACTCTTAAGTTCACACGAACCACATAGGATTGATTCTGGGGAGACAATTATACGAGAATATACAAAGAAATATAGATGAGAGGGCGTGGCCTGACTACCGATGGAGTAAGATGCACCTAACTCGAGCTCCTAGGCCCCAACCTGCTAAGCCCAATAAACTAGCTATAATATACCGACATAAACGCGCAAATGGGGAAAAACAGGCGACTGACCACCGCGGCAGCCACCGGGCCCGATGGACGAATTCCTGTCGGTGCCGCCCGGCCTCAGTGGCTCCAGGGACACAGACATGCAGACACTCTCTTCCCTGGGCTCCAGCGTGATGGGATCAGTACAGGACTCGCCCGCAGTAGGCACTCTGTCCCAGATATCGGCGGACATAGCGGCGATCTCCACAAGCATAGACAAAACCGAAATGGTGGCTGAGCTGCACTCAACCATCAGAGAAGAATTTGCAGCAGTTCACAGCGACCTTGCCGCATTGGAGCAGAGGGTAGATACCCTAGAAGAAACGCACCTGAAGGCCGCACAGCATCAGCAGGCCGCGGACCTGGCCACCACAAGGCAGGGCAATATTCTCCTGGACCTCCGCCGGCAGATTGAAGAACTGGATAACAGGGGCCGCCGGTACAACATCAGAATCCGGGCCCTACCGGAGGGGGAGGCTCTGCAGGAGATCCTCACGGGCCTATTCACGCACCTCCTGGGAGACTCGGCTCCACAGGAATTTGGCATAGAGAGAGCACACCGGGCCATAGGGGCCCCCAGGAGAGATGGTCAACCCAGAGACATCTTCTGTTCACTGGTGTCGTTCCAGCTGAAGGAGGCCCTCATGAGATCTGCCAGGGCACGGCCACATGTCACCTACATGGATGCTCAGGTCTCCCTCTTCCAGGACCTGTCCATTATCACCCTCGACGCCCGACGGGCCCTGAGGCCAGTAACCCACCTCATGCAAGAACGGAGAATACTCTACAAATGGGGGTTCCCTTTCAGCCTCCAGGCCAAAATTGGGAATGTCTGGCACGTCATTCGCTGGCCCAACGACGTGCCCCGCTTCCTCCGGATGGCCGGCCTGCCTGATGTACCGATCCCGAATTGGATCCTAGACAACCCCCCAGCTCGACCAACCGGCCCATCAGACGCAGCGCATAACCTTCGCCCAACCTCAGGTACACCAAGGCGAAGGGGAGGCCCTGAAGGCCCCGAAGAATAGTGACTGATAAGGAGTCACCCACGCACACGATACCCGCTCCTACACCCCGCTTGGACCTGCGCCCACACGGAAACCGACAGCATTTGCCACAACAATTCAGCGCTTCAAGCCGAGACCACGCGGAGGCCTCAGAAGGGGTATGTACTGTTCCGGTGGCCCTGTCAACTTAGAGTCTCACCCAACAGTTAAAGGGAGAAGTATCCAGGGGACCCCCACAAGTTGGGTGGGACAGGGTTTCCAGGGGGGTGCACAAGTGGGTGAAGGGGATCAGCCAACGGAGTGGACCCCTGGGGGTCGACCAATAGCTCTGGGGCTCCCTGAGGTGGGGTGAGGAACGAGGCGCATGGGTCACATTCAGAGGACCGGGACATGCCCGTCAGGGGGCCCGGAACACAATAGGGCCGCGGCTGAGAGCCTTTGACTGAGGGGACAATAACAGGGTCGAACACTGGCCCATTGTCACATGTGTTGCACGGGCGCACAGGGCTTTGCGGGGGGGATGGGGAGGGGGTAGACCTGGGTGCCAGCGGCGGGCCGAGCTGGACGGACGACAGAGAGAGTCGGGTGAGGAGGGAAAGCGAGGGCCGCTGCGGATGACTGAAAGTTTAAAGTTTATTGTAGTACGTTTTTTCAAAATGGTTCAACGGATTAGCAGCATAGCTAGTTACTACTACACACACAATCGCTATGTACACCACGCAGGGCAGAAAGGGCGGACCCAAGGGGCAGTGGGAGAGGGGGCGGGGGAGGCCCCCGGTGGTTGACAAAGTTAATTGCATCGCCCTAAGGTACAGACAACCCTGTAGGGCCTTCCTCTGTTTCAGACCTTGGTCTGGAGGGAACCCCCGTGGGGATTGCTGGGTGAGGAGCAGACGGGTCCAGGGGGCTGCGGGGCGGGGGCGGACACCTATGCTAACAGATGGCAAGCAAGCTACGACCTAATGAGCGGGAGCAAGTCGGGACGAGCCGAGGGGGGAGGGGTGGGCTCAGATGGACACATAGCGAACAAGCAGCATCTGTTAATACCCACATATAGACAGGGTTAGCAAGTATGGACAGCGGGTCAGATATGAATATAGTCCCCATAGCTCGGATCAGCTACCAAACAATATTGAGTGCAGCACTCGCAAGTTGGGTGCCATACTAGGGGACCGCAGGCAGGACACAACTCCAAACAAACTCATCTCCCTCGGTGGCTACACTGAATCTCACTGTGACAGTCCCTATTTGTACATATTACCGGGGTTGCAGGACAGTGGAACATCCCTACCCCTGCGACGACCACACCCGGTACCGGGACATGGTCACACCACACTCACTCCGAAACCCAACACCCAAACGACTAGACGGAGACAATAGCGCCAGACACATCCCTGACTCCAGACCGTTCCCTCTGTGTTCTTTTCTTCCCCCATGCCTTCCCCGGGGCGGGTGCGGGGCCGGCAGCGGCTGCAGCCAAGGAGGGCTTCACGCCGGCCCGGCTAACACTCTGGTCGAATAATGTCCAAGGTCTCAATGTGCCGGAGAAGCGCACACGCCGGAAAAGCGTTTGACCGAGTGGACTGGGCCTTCCTCTCGGAGACGCTGCGCCACATGGGTCTCGGCACCCACATGCGAACATGGGTGGCTGCTCTGTACACCACCCCAACGGCACGCATTCGGGTCAACGGAGCATTGACAAAACCATTCAGCATCCACAATGGCACCCGCCAGGGCTGTCCCCTGTCACCCCTCCTGTTTGCCCTCACTCTCGAACCCTTTCTGGAGGCGGTCAGACGGGACGGGGGCATCGTGGGGACCCGCCTGGGCGGGGCGGAACATCGAGTTGTGGCATATGCGGACGATATGCTCTTCTTCCTGGAACGGCACAGAATCTCGACCCCGAACCTGCTAGAGGCGTTCAAACAATATAACATAGTCTCTAACCTGAAACTTAACTTAGAGAAGTCAGAGGCGATGCCGGTGGCACAGGACACGGTGCTAACACGACACTTCGAAGCACACTTCACGTTCAAAATCTGCACAACAAAGCTTCGATACCTCGGCGTCTGGTTGCCGAAAGATCTCTCGCAGATCTACCAACTGAATTTCGCTCCTCTCCTTGTAACGCTACAACAGGACTTAAAACGATGGACGTCCAAGTACTTATCGTGGTTTGGCCGCATAAGTGCTATAAAAATGAATATTATGCCGCGCATCCTATACTTATTTCAGACGCTGCCTTCCACCATCCCCCAAGTCTTCTTCCAGACGCTAATGACCAATGTTTGTTTGTATGTAACAAAAGGCCTACCTGGGTTCGGAGAACAATATTGGAGCGACCGAAGAGTGACGGAGGTATTGGACCTCCGTCCACACTCATGTATTACCAGGCGACCCACTTACATTGACTGGTTGACTGGCACGCCAACCCTAATGCTAAGCAATGGGTGGACATGGAGCTTCAACAAGCACAAGGGAAGATCCCCGCCCTGCTGTGGCTGTGAGAGGCTACATTCAGAGAAATAAGCACAGGCAAGCCGATGATAGACGCCACCCTTAGGGTCTGGTGCGGGATAAGATATGCCAAGCAGCTCACCACAGCTCCCAACCAGCTCACGTCCATAACCAACAACCCTAAGTTAGCCGGCGGACTAAATTCTACTGCCCTTAAAAATTTCCAGGCGACAGATTGGGTCTACCTACACCAATGGTGCAGCGGCCGGAACCTTAAACCCTTGACAGACCTGATGCAGGATCGCAGACCAACCAGACTGGACGAATTCCACTACCACCAGCTCAAAACTTACTACAACGCTATTAAGGGGAAGGATCACGTCCACCGCCCCCTCCTGTATCTGGAACAATTATGCACGGCCAGGCAACACCTCTCACACGGCGTATCAACTATGTATACCGCACTAATGAATAGAGGAGATAAGGACGCTTTGGGCTTCACGGGGCGGTGGGAAAGGGAAACGGGGACTGAGCTCACGGACACAGATTGGAACAAAATCTTCCAACTGACGCACAAGGGAACTATAAGCTCAAAATACCAGGAATGCAATTATAAAATCCTGACGCACTGGTATAGGACCCCGGACATCCTAAGACATATCCATGACACGATTCCTGGCGACTGCTGGAGATGCGGAACCGAAAGGGGTACAGCCTATCACATCTGGTGGACATGCCCCCTCATAGTCCCATACTGGCGAAAGATGAACCGCACAATAGAAGATATCACAGGCACCGAACTTCAATTGCAACCCCTGACGATGTTGCTCAATCATACGCACACCCCATTGAAAGCATACAAAAAAGGGCTCACCATACACCTGCTCACAGCGGCTAAGACACTTATCCGCACACACTGGAAAACCACAACAGTACCCTCTCTAGAGCAGTGGATCGCTAGGGTGGAAGATATCTACAACATGGAAATGATGACGGCCTCCTTGCAGGGACGTGCGGACAAGTGTGCGCTGACCTGGTACCCATGGATGGACTATGTGGCCAAGAGAGCTGCGGCGGCAGGTCCCCGCGGGGGAAGGGGCTACGTGTGCCCCGGGGCGGACGGGGGCCGGGGACTAACACAGACTGGACACACACGCACAAGAGGACAATTCCCTGCAAACATAATAATCCCTGACCCCACCCCCCTAGACCGCTGACGGACATAACACCGACACACCTTAACCCAAGACAGCTGAACTCCCTCTCATGACTACAGATGGACAAGGCATAAGACCCAGGGTGTAAAATCAGAGAAACGCTGGTCTCCCCTGCCCAGGAACAAAGTGTTGCACACAAACCATGGACCACCCCAGCCCCGCACAACACTTGACAAACAAACTCCAGCACTGAGATGGGGAACCAGTGACCGTACAACCTCCGACATTCGCATCGCAAGGAGCTACAACACAAAGGGTACTAAGGCAAAGGGTGGTGGGAGACAGGGCCAGGGGTACACGGGCCAACGAAGGAGTACACACAGCCCATGAAAGGCACACCGGGGTCCCACAGGATACCAAACAGACAAGGGAAGGATGCTCACAGTGGGGGCTTAGTTGCAGAAATGGTGGGTTCTCAAACCCGCACGACTCGGACCATGGTTAATCACTGAGGCTATTAACCCAATCTACAAGTACAGCGTAGAACCCACGAGGCAACGGAAGACAGAGACGAACAGCTCACCACACATTGTTACTTAATCGTACAACTCCGCCTGTACGGCTTCGACAATAACGACTGAAGAGGAGGGTGTTGGGGGGGGGAGAGGAAAGTTGGGGAACACACAGTTACATACATTAACTTTAAAACGGATGCCCTGTCATCTCAATACACAGGGGTATTCAGGCCTCAACAATCCCAGAGGCTCACAATTTCAATTTTGGCATCTGGTGAAGTCTAGGACGCCTACTCTGGTGCTCTTTCTGGATGTGGAGAAGGTGTTCAACAGAATAGAGTGGCTCTATTTGTTTGAGCTCCTACATAATCTGAACTCTCCCACTAAATATATAGATGCTGTTAGAGCACTGTATACCAACCTACTAGCCTAGACCTTAATTACAGGATCTAAATCCCCACCATTCAAGATAGGAAATGATACCAGGCAGAGATGCCGCCTGTTACCCCTGCTATTCACTCTGACATTAGGACCACTACTTCACATAAAATGTAATTATCTGGAGTAAACATAGTAGGTCCTGCCTTTACAGTAGCATCATACGTAGTCAACTTGTTGCTGACTCTGATGGATCCAGCCCCCTCCTTGCTTCAACTGAGCTTAGTCTTCGGAGATCTGTGCGAGTACAAGATAAACTTAAATAAATAACGGGTAATGCCAACACATGTCTGGGTTGCGGACACAGCACTCGTTGAGTGGTCATACACTTTGCTACCGTCTCCTTTAAATATTTAGGGATAAACCTCACCTCAGACCCTTCCAAGTTATATGAGAAGAATTATACCCCACTTATTAAATACTTAATAAGGGACTTGGATAATTGGAGAAATAAACCCATTTCATGGATAGGGCATATAGATAGATAGTAAAAATTAATATCCACACCAGAATTTTGCTTCAATCTCTTCAGGTACCAGTTAGCAAAAGAGATTTAGCCAATCTCCAATCAATTTACTATTGATAAATTTGTTTGGCAGAATAAATTACACAGCATCGCTCAGTGTTTTATACTGATCCAATAAGTTGGAGGCTTAGGTCTTGGTAAACTATTCCTATAGTAACCTTTGGCACAATTAGTTCAGATTGTGACATGGCACTCATCACCAGAGCAGAGAAGATGGACTAATTTGGAAGCCCTATTTAAGGGGGCTGATCTCCCATAGTTTATTTAAATTGGTCCACAAAATAGGGCATTTTTACGCACAAACTGCCTTTAAATTCTGAACTCTAACTGTATCTGGGATACATTTTCAGTCAAATACTTACCTGCGACTCCCTTCTTCCATGACCCCATTCCTGAGAAGCTGAGCATTCCTAGCTGGTATGAAGCCCATAGGCTTTAAAGGCATAGAATAAGCAGGCATTCAGAGAATAGGTATCTTGTATATAGACAATAACTTGGTCATATTCATCACATTCTTAGAATTACAGAACCGAACCAGACTCAATCCAGGGGACTTCTTCAAATACCTCCAAATGTGGGATATTGCATCCCGAGGAGAAATTTAAAAGGCAGTTAAAATTCCCCTGAAAAACTATGCTTAACTGAAATACCTCAATAGACCTATGGGAAGGGTACCTGGGAGAGACACTGGAGGGCGGGCAGTGAGAAGACATATGGGAAGAGCCCTGGCCCAATATTGGTTAGGGAACAAAACAACCGCAATTGAATGTGTGAGTCAAAAATTAGAGCCAACTATCTTATGGACAAAACAACCCAAGGGAAAAATAAAATACCCCTTTTCCAGAAAGTATGGGAAATGGAAGAATCCCCTTCCCTTACATACCTCACCCCTACTTTTCCTTGTTGCTTATTCATTTTTACATTGTTTTTTACGGTGATTTTTCTGTTCTCTGGATAAAAACGCAAGTCGGCTATACATTATGTCTTGTATATTTTATGTCTTGATGCAAACAGATGTATTGCTACTTGCACCTAAATAAAGATTATTTTTTTAAAATAGTAATATTTTACATGTAGGAAATGCAATTATTATCATCATCTGAATTTCAGAAGACCCAAAATGTTTTCATCAGAATTTTGTTATTTACTGTATTTAGACAGTTTGTATACATTCTGTACATCAGCTGGAAAAACATTCACATTAAATGGACCTAAAAACGAGAGAGGATTGATTATATTTGTTCACACAATGCTAACTGCTGCAGTATGAATTCATTCTTTAAAGCATCTTTTCATCTCACGCAGAACTAATTATGAACAAAAATTCCCTTATTATTATCGGCTTGTATAAAATGCTAATTAATTCCTAGACAAAATAACCAGTTTTCCTATTAGCCAGAAAACTGTCACATTCTGATTTCTTCTGTAAACTGTATACATGTTCTGAGAATAGTTTCCATATTCTAATATGGCATTTATTATTTCAGGAATTTAACAACCCTGAACATGTCTGCAAAACACCAAATTGCGGTGAATAAAACCAAACTGCAAAATATAAGCAACATTAGCTAATTTTGTAAAGTTATTCAACTCAGTTACAGTTAAAGTTGAATTTTGAACTCAAGAAACACTTCACTGTCCAAATAAAAAAATAAATTAAAAAAAACATATTGCTATTTAGAACATAAGAAAACATGCATGCATTTAATTATGTATGTTTTTATGGGGGTATATCTAAAACAGGTCAGCTGTTTTGCAAGCCATCCCCCTTTTCCCCAGCCCACACTTTCTGTGGTTGACAAGATCATTCCAATGCAGCTAATTGAAAGGATTTTGCTAGGCAGGTGCTCTGGGTTATTGCCTGCTTCTTGAGTTTAACTTCACTTAGATAAACAACTAGTAAGTAACGGGACTTTTTGTCTGATTGACAGCCATGCAGAGTATTCAGCTGTAATGTATAAAAGTGCCAATTTGTATTGAAATCTGCACTTTTTGTAAAATGAAAAAAGATGACACCCTTTTCACACATAATGCATTTCACGCAAGATAATGTGATTTAGGTGTTTGGAATATTTAATTAACTTGCAAAGTATTAATTAAACACTATAACCACTAGTGTGCTAGGATATCCTTAGCTGTGAAAACACAATACCAAGATAGATTGAGTGGAGAGACAGAGTTGCCTTGCCTCCAGGGCCGGATTACCATAGGGGCTGATGGAGCTGCAGCTCCAGGCCAAGGCCCAGGCCCATGGAATAGGCCCATTGATTTACAAAAAAAGAAAATATTTTATTTTAAATTTTTTTTATTTTTTTTTATTTTTTACACACTACTCTTAGGGTTGCCAGGTATTTCTCATGTATTTCTCAGAAGTATTTCTCAGGTATTTGAGGCTGCCTAGCCGGTGCTGGTATTGCAGTAATACCGGCAATAGAAATGTCTGTTTTAGTATAAACAGAGATTATTTTGCAGTACCAGCGCCGCCAGTAGGGTTCGCTGTTTGTGTGGAGAGAGGCAGTGATAAGAAGTTACGGCATCTCCCTCCCTGCCTCTCTCTACTCACTGAGAGTCCAGACAGCAGCTCCGAGACATGGGGATGCTGAGACATTGGGACACTGGGGAACATGTGCAGTGGCCCCTTGTCTCCCAGTGGCCCCTAGTCTGTGTCCCCATGTCTCCCAGCCATTGTCCCTAGTGTCTCAGTGGCCCCATGTCTCCCAGTGTCCCCTAGTGTCCTAGTGGCATCGGGACACTGGGAGACATGGGGACACAGACTCTAAGGGACACTGGGAGACATTGGGATACAAACACTAGGCACACTACAGACACTGAGAGACACCAGGGACACATGGAGATACTGAGATACTATGGACACTGGCTGGGAGACATGGGGACACTGGGAGTGCCCCATGTCTCCTAGGTCTCAAAGTCGCCCAGTGTCCCCATGTCTCCCTGTGTCCCCCAGTGTCCCCAGGTCTCCCAGTGTTCCCTAGTATCTGTGTCCCCATGTCTCCCAGTGTCCCCATGTCTCTCAATGTCCCCTAGTGTCCTAGTGACATGGGGACACAGACACTAGGGGACTGGGAGACATGGGGACACAGACATGCCCCCTTTTTGTGTATGTACGCCCCTTCTGCTTATGTGATTTGTGTCAGTGGCCCACCCTATTACCGCATCCATAGACTTCCTGCTTTACTGGACACTGCTGTTAGGGGGTATGGCTTGACTTGAAAGATGAAAGCGTGAGATTAGCAAAGGGTATGTGTTTTCTCATAGTTGCATCCTATGAGTTTCCCTCCAGCACCATCTCCATCAGATACATGATGCTTAGGAGGCAGGATTGTTTTAGTGTTTTTGGTCAATAAGATTTTGTAATTAGGCCCATCATAATTATCAGCACCAGGCCCACTGGGCTCTTAATCTGGCCCTGCTTGCCTCTGTCAGTCGTCTTCTTGTCATAAATGTACCCACTGAAGCTCCTCTTTCCAGTGAGGTACCTGAGCCATATGCAGATTTTATGGAATGTATTTGACTAGAAAGAGACTGACCAATTGCCACCATATGACCTACATGATTGTGCCATAGAGATCCTCCTGGGCACTAAAGGGTTCTAGGGTCTTTACCAAATTGGTCCTCAGGGGAGCTTACAAATTGGCAAGGTTTAAACCCAGTGGCGAATGGAAGACAACCTTTTCAGCCACAAGTGGGCATAATGAGTATATGGTAATGCTCTTTTGTTTATGCAATGCCTCAGCCATCTTCCAAGAACTTATCAATGATATACTCAGCGACCACATACATAGTTTTGTGATAGTGTACTTGGATGACATTTTGGTGCATTCTTTTAACTTGCAGACCAATCATATGCATATAACTTTGGTATTACAAACATTTTTAGACAATTGATTATTTTGTAAGATGGAGAAATGTCTATTCTGCCAGACCCAAGTACACATGTGCTATGTGATTTTAGGTTCTGTGATCCAAATAATTTTGAAAAATGGCTATTCTGCAATGGCCCTTGCATTTAGGTCACAAGGCGATCTGATTCTCAAGTAACTATAGAAGGTTCATAAAGGGCCTGTCCACTCTCCTTGCTCCAGTTGATGACGAATGGAGCTAATACGCATAAATGGGCCCCTCAAACTATAAAAGCATTTGAAGAGCTTAAAAATGCCTTTGGCATTTTAGTCTGACACTTTTTTTCATGAGTTATGCCCTCCACTTACTTGAATCTCTACCTGAGTGAAAAGGGTATATTCTGAAATATTTGATCATGGAGAATCTACATCATGATACATTTTACAACTCCTGAGCAAGTAGGTAAACAGTTGGGTTTTCAAAGATCTCTATGGCCTAACTGTCATAGAGATCTTTGAAAACCCATCTGTTTACCTACTTGCTCAGGAGTTGTAAAATGTATCATGATGTAGATTCTCCATGACCAAATGACATTTGGACCCATGCCATTAATGTTGGAAGTCTTTGATTTTATATATGATTTTATCTATAGCAAACCAGTAACCAACCTCATGCTGATGATTTGCATTAACAATGAAACAGCTGTCAATGAGTGGTTCACTGGCTTTGCATCTTTTCCCAAGTTGTGTTTCAAAGTTGTTGTATACAGCAAACACAGACTCCATGTTTAAAATGGAATTAGGCAAAAATGTGATTCTTTGTTAAACTAATTTGCATATGCCCACCCAGAATCCTTTGCAGTAGTAACATCACTGCAAATTTGTGATTTCTGTGGGAAAAGCAAGTCTTATGGCTTGACTGGTGTGCACATTTTTGTTTAACATTGTATTAAGTATATATATAATCAAAGACTTCCAACATTCATGGCATGGGTCTAAACGCTAAATGAGATATATATATATATATCTATATATATATATATACACCAGCTTTATTGTCAAAATTTACAGACTTTCACCTTCTTGCAATGAAAAAATCAAGCAAAAGAAATTGAATAGAATCCCTCACAACAGCACAAATATGCAAAACAGGTGTAGTCTCAAGCACAACTATTTCAACTAATCAATGGCTTCCTTAGTTGCACCAGATGTGCATGAGCTGGAGCACTTTAAACACCTGAACTGGATGGGGGTTTGTTGGGTGTCACGTTTGACTACATGTTAGAAAAAAGTTAATAGAATGGTCCACAGAGTTAAGAGAAGAGATCATCACTTTTCACAAACAAGGAACAGAAGAGACAAAAGTGGTAAGTGGGAAGAACAATAATAGTGTGAGTGAGTCTTTTATAAGCTTTTATATACTCTTATTTCACTTGACATATTGCACTATTATTGTTCTGTACTTTTTTGCCTTGAAGGTTTTATACATTCCTAATTAGAGGATTCTCTGTATGTATATATTTTAATTATTATTTGCACTGTTTGGGCGCGGTTTACCACTTTTGTCTCTTCTGTTTTACTACTGTGAGCAGGTATTGGGAATTCCTGCTTGGTTCACTGCTGCCCACCTTTAGTTTATTTAGCGAGCGCCTAACTCCTCTTTGTTACAAACAAGGAACAGTATACAAAAAGATAGCGAAGGCACTGAATCTTCTTAGAGACACCACTGGAAGCATAGTTGAAAGTTAAAGGAACAGTGGTTACACTACCTGGATAGGGCAGAAAAGACTTCTGAGAAGGTAGATTGTGAAAACCCTTTTGAGTGACTGCAAAATATCTGCTGCAAGACTTGGTGGCAACAGGCACTGAGGTTTCAGTGAGCACAGTAAGGTATGCACTAAACGCAGAATGTTTCCATGCAAGAGCTCCAAGATGTACACCACTACTGACCCAAAAGTCGGCTCCAATATGATCAAAATCATATATATATATATATACATGCCCCAAAAGTTTTGGGATTTTGTTCTGTGGAATGATGAAGTAAAAGTGGAACTTTTCATCCCAATGAATCAGCGGTTTGTCTGGAGGAAGAAGAATAAAGGATATGCTGAAAATAACACTCTGCCTACAGGTAAGCATGGTGACTCAGTAATGCTATGGTGCTGGCTTGCATCCTATGGCACTGGAAACCTGAAGCGTGTGGAAGGCAAGATGGATTCAGTATCAGGAAATCCTAGGACATAATGTCATGTCATATGTGAGGACTCTGAAGCTTGGGCATCATTGGACCTTCCAACAAGACAATAATCCCAAGCATACCATTTTGACCCCGGTGGAGTATATATACAGACACACATACATACTTCCAACAAATTTGCTCATGATTCTCCACTCATTATTATTAATATTATTACGATATTTATAGAGCGCCATCAAATTCTGCAGCACTTTACAATGGGTGGACAAACAGACATGTAGTTGTAACCAGACAAGTTGGACACACAGAAACAGAGGGGTTGAGGGCCCTCCTTACATGTTAATGGGCTTCTTGTAAAGGGAGTCCTTAAGTTGAGAAACATGCTGTGTATCTGCTCCTTTTCTCTGTACAGGAAAGGAAAGACAGTGAACATGATGAGGCCCCAGAGATATGCTTTCTCGCAGAGAATGAGCAGACTCTATTTATTTCCCTAGGGATTGTGGCTGCCTAGCACTAAGGGCGCTGGGCAGCTCTCTGTGGGATGTATCGAGGTATGGCAGCTGTGTCTCTCACAGGTTATAGATCAAGTGATATATAATGTAAGTGACTCGCAGTACAAGTCTTAAAAAGGCAAAAATATTGTTTTACTATGCAGAATATTTGTCACAAACAGTTCACCGCTATTACGTAGATAATGTGGTGTACAGAGGTTTCAAATATGTAACACCTTCGGTACCATAGGTTTGCTGCTCTGACATTGAAATGTTTTTTTGCGTGTCCTTGGATGATAGCGGAAGGGATGTTAGTGCTTATTATGTGACCGATGTTTTGGGAAAAACTCACTTCAAGTTTAGATAAAGGGGACATCTATCCCCTGGTTCTATATACCCATGTAGAAGGTATATATTTTGTCAGGAGACTGAAAACCTGTCGCCTATCATCATTATAATTTTCATTGCTTTGTTCTGTAGCCCTAGGGACAAGATGAATAAGCCATCAAATGAATATCAGATTTATGGGACGGTAAGACAGATATTGACAGGAGGCAACCGTAACATGGGATGGACATTTTCTTGTCTGAAGCTTCGGTGCCACTACTGAAGAAACTATGATCAAAAAGTGCTTCAAATTTTGACTGTCCAACTCACCCCTTTATAATAAGTAAATATTATAATTTAACTGCCCACAAAATGAGTGGGGCTCACCTAAATAGTTAGCAAAACATTATATTGTTTGTAGACATGTATCAACATACTTTAGTACCATCACATATTCAAGTAGCCTTTCACCTAGTGTACCTCATACATACAGACACACAGTCACAAAATATATGCCTTCTGTATGAGTGCGTAGAACCAGGGGATAGATGTCCCCTTTATTTAAACTTGAAGTGAGCATGTACAGGCATACCCCACTTTTAAGTACACAACGGGACCAGAGCATGTATGTAAAACGAAAATGTACTTAAAGTGAAGCAATACCTTTTTTTACTTCCCAATGCATGTACTGCCTTGCAGTAGTAATTTACAGGCATAACTAATACTGCAACTGCAGATTTCCAGTGATTTTATTTCCAGTGATTTATTTACTGATTTCCAATGGGCTTTTATTCAGATAAAACAAACAGTAAAAAGAAAAATCTCATTCCAGATTGTACCATTTATCTTTAATGTGTTATTCATCTGACAGCCTTAAACTGGGAGGAAAAGTAAAATAAACCTGCCAACTGGGCCATTTTCTGTCAATACAGTGCCAATTTGTATTTGTTAGCAGCTTATTTGCACACTTTGTTTAGAAACACCTCTTCATCACTTTAACCATGTATGGTTTAACTTGGAATCCTCAGAATTGTGGCTAATGCAGCTAAGCTGCTAAGTCATAGTTATAGAAAATGGCAGGGTAAACCCTTTAATTGGATGGCGCCTGTAACGGATCACCTGGCACCCCGACTGGGTACCTCCGTTGAAGGATGCTCTTAGCGCTTCCTGAGGGCTCCAAGCACTCCAGCCGACACCATAACCACCGTAGACTCCTCCAGCGAGCAAAACAGGAACAAGCTCTTAAAAGAACTTAGTAGTAATAGCAAGTATAGCAAGGGAATATGCAGAGCCTAGCAATCCCTTGTAGCAGATTCCCCCAATAAGAGATGGCACTCCAAATTGAGGGTGAAGTAGAACTAGGCAGAGCTGTGGGTTTATTGTTCTTATATACACATTCTTACACATTATTACCACCCACAGGGTTTTGTAAAACAATCAATAAACACGTACAATACACTCAGACACTCCCACACAAAATCCTCTCCACTGCCTGTGATACAATTACCTTACACAATGGGTTAATGTAATTATCACAGGCAGGAAAATACACAGTTTTACACAATATTTATAACTTTAAAAGTATGCATCACATTCACATAAAATTTACATTTCAGAATCGGCATACTCCAAATACAAACATACGTCGAAATCATACAAATTGGTCCAGTGGGTCAAAAGTTAGATCAAAGTCCTTTGTGACCAAATGAAGCATGGCTTTTCTGCCCAAAACCGGTTCCACAGAGTCTTCTATCCTGGAGATAATTGGGAAGTAATCCAATTATCTCCAAGGACAGAGGCAAAACTCCATTAGCCATGGTAGCAAAAGACAAAATACATAAATATATATAACTGTGCAGCTATTGCATAAAACTGGTACATTCAACATATCCCCAGATAGCTTAGATCTGAGCGCACATTATTACTGAATGGCGCTCAGATCACATACATACAGTTCAATTGCCATGGAGTCTTTCACATAGTCTTTCGTTATACGAATGGGCTCCATGGCATAGCTATCTGGGGTATCACTGTTCAAATAGGGAAAGTACCGAATGACCCGGCTTTCTTGTCCTTGCAGGGGAAAATCAAGCGGTTCAAGATGGGGCCATAGTCCAGGGGGAGCAGGCAAGCAACCAGGCTCCTCCAATGCCCAGTGGCGGGGTTGGTACCGTCACATCGCCGATTGCAGAATATGGACAATGTAGGGGCAGAAAAAATATATATATGTTCAGCTAGGAGTAGGCATTATAAATTTGAGATGATTAACCTGTGTCATGTCACAAGGTGTGAAAAGTTATTGCCCCAAATAGAACCTATTTACTGTTCACTCGCAGACAGAAGAGGAGCAGGAATGTCAGTACTCGCGAGTGTACTTAAAGTGGGTGTATTCCCACAACGTTGGTCACATAATAAGTACTAACATCCCTTCGACTTTCACCCAAGGACACGCAAGAAGCATTTTAATGTCAGGGCAGCAAACAGCACTTTTGGTACTGAAGGCGGTACCTATTTTAACATTATAGTGTTAGGAATACATGTATGTATTGACTAATATATCTGTGCACAACAGAGAAGCAATTAAGCCTAACTTTTACTAGCCTTTCCTTGAGGCTCTTCCCTTTGCTACATCCCATGACTGAGCTTGTATCTTGTACTATCTAACACATCTTATTTATTGAAATGCAGTATTTAACATTTGTGCTAATTTAGTATGTGTCAGCTATTCTTAATATTTTGATATAGGTAGTTTATTGATGTACCTCAACACATGTACAGACTTGTCTCTTTCATAGGCTCAATAAGAGTCACTAAGTAAAGAGTCACTAACGAGTGAACAATCAATGTGTTAAGCCATTGGATGTGATATATTTTAGTTTTATTTGAATATGATTGTAGTAGGGTAGAATAAAAAGGCCATTAAACATGCAAATGTTGACTATGTGGTTTGGTTTGTTTTTGTGTGTTTCTTAATTGCTTAGTAAACACTGTGATTTTTCTGTACTATACAGATGCTGGATCTCCGACTCCCCTCCTCTTTCTCTATGTTTGATTTGATCTCAGGATTCTGCAATGACATTGTCAGTTCAGCTCAAAGTTTCATTTCCTCAACTTGGACTTTCTATCTGCAAGCTGATGATGGTAAAGTTGTGGTATTTCAAGTGAGTATCATAGGAAGAGTAAAAAAGGCTGAATTAATTATGCTCTTTTGGCCATCATATATTATATAAAATAAATATATATTTAGCTTGATGAATCAGTTTTGGTGTATTGATCATGCCCCTGCATTCCAGATGCTCAATTCTCTGCTATTTAGGAGTTAACTCACTTTGTTTATACAGCCCTAGTTACACCTCCCGTGCATGTGATCTACACAGTCTCCTTACACACTTCCTGTAAAAAGAAATCTAACTATTAAACTTCCTTTTTTGCACCGTGTGTTTAATTTAGAATGTCTTATCTCCTACTCTGTTAATAGCCTGCTAGAGGCCGCAGTAGCTGTGTGTGTGTGTGTGTGTGTGTGTGTGTGATTAAAGTTTATTTAACAGTGCAGGTGATAAAACTTCTAAAATAATAATACTGTGCTGTCACATCTGATTGAATAAGGAGCCATTTATTCATGAAGGCTGTGTCAATCACAGCCAGGGAAGGAGTGGCAAGGGATGCATACACAGAAATATGTGATTTAACTCCTAAATGAGAGAGTTTTACTTATCTCAAGCTATCACTCATGGCCACTTCCAATTTCGTCCAGCAGGTCATCTTCAGCTATTGTTACTTGTTAATTGCCAGGAGCCACGTTAGTGCTGTATTCTCTCCATAGACAGAGCTTAGTGTATCCTTGATTAATGTTTTAGACTGCTACACTCCACACTCATGTAATTCACCCTATCTAAGTCATTCTGTAGCTGTAAGTGGGCTGTGGGTATGTGTCTGATGTTTGTTCTAAAATAAGAACTTTAATTCGCAACCTCATGGATAACAAGGTTAACTTCAGTTAGGTATTACAATTTAGACATTGTGTAAACTATACATTTTGCTGGCGAAGTGCGCAGTTAATGTATAGTTTAAGAGATCTACTTACTATAAAGAGAAATGTCACAGTTGTGTTATTAATCCAGTATCTCAGTAAATGTTAGATATGGGATCCACTGTATAGAAAAAAAAATGTTTGCATTGGATTTGAACGTGGTAATGTTTGGAAGTGATTTTAATGAACAGGGAAGTATTTAGAAAAGAAAAATTACATCTTTCACATTTATATTGCAGACCCGTCCTTTCTTTTCATCCTCATTAAATGCAAAACTTCTTGCTGCTTCACCCACCTTATTAATGTGGTAGTAGAAGTTTTTATACCCTCCAGCATCTCTAAAGGTAGCATGCGTAGGGAATATAATGTTATATTCTTGACACTTGCTGCCTGTTATTGGGCAGCCCACTGAGAGGAAGTAGGAAGGAGTCTGTGGTAGCCAACACACAGCTTTCCTGCTTACCCATCACTAGAGATCAGACACGCTACAAATTAAGCCTATTTTTTTTTACCTATATTTATGACAGGGGAAAGCTGTATGCGGAAAGGGAGGTTTATTCTTCCAAACGTTATATGTGTGTGTGTGATCTAACTTTGTAAATAGGTGATTTTTTTTCTGTGTATCTGACTATTGCTGTGATTATGTGTCTATGTATGTACATGACTGTGTGTCGGTGTGTGCCCATATGTGCATGCACCGAAGTGTGTTATTGCACATATGTGACACTCCGTGTGTGTGTGTGTGTATGTGTCACTGTGTGCATGTCTATATATGTGTGTCTTTATATGTGACTGTGTGTCTGTATGTATGAGGTTGAATTTGTGATGGTAAAAAAGTATGTTGATACCAATACAAACGACCGGACCTATGCTGGTTAATTCTTTGTTATCCATGTCTATCCCTCCCTCTTATGTCTTTACTTCTGTTTCTTAGCAAATATTATTTTAAATCTACTTCAGATCATTTCTAGCCTTTTCCTAGTTCTTTTAGATATACCATAACAATGTTCTTATAATTTAGAGAACATCATAGTTGTTAAAGATATAATAAAAACTAGCATATTGCGTATGTATTTTTTATGCATTATAGAGACAGTACTTAAAAAGATATATTGTTCATATATTCTTCTTCATTTGTGATTTTTTTGTTCTCAACTGTACCCAATTTTATATTTTTTATGTTGAATTAATATTTCCAAATGAAATTTTTTTTTAATTTTTAAACAATTGATGCCTTTCCCATCATGTAAAATGAAAGAAAGTGATGTACATTTTTCTCTTAAATTTTTTCATCTGTATATTTATTTTCTAGTCCCAGCCAGAGATAGAATACCCAGTTCTAGAATTACAGGCTCCCAGATCAGATGTCACAGAGAAGACTTGGCTTACATCCAAGTTCAACACCTTGAAACCACACACAGGTATATAGGACAGTGAGATTAAAGGTACAAACCCTTTGCAAGTGGTTGTAAAAGTCTACACACAGTCATCAACGTCACTAAGTTTGACTGTGATATTTCAGCATTGTCATTTGGTATTATGCAGTCAACCATTGTGCAAGATGGAATTATAAATGCATGGTGTTTCCACCAAATTACAGTTGCAAGAAAAAGTATGTGAACCCTTTGGAATCATATGGATTTCTGCACAAATTGGTCATAAAATGTGATCTGATCATCATCTAAGTCACAACAATAGACAATCACAGTCTGCTTAAACTAACACACAAAGAATTAAATGTTGCCATGTTTTTATTGAACACACCATGTAAACATTCACAGTGCAGGTGGAAAAAGTATGTGAACCCTTGGATTTAATAACTGGTTGAACCTCATTTGGCAGCAATAACTTCAACCAAACGTTTCCTGTAGTTGCAGATCAGACGTGCACAACGGTCAGGAGTAATTCTTGACCATTCCTCTTTACAGAACTGTTTCAGTTCAGCAATATTCTTGGGATGTCTGCTGTGACTCGCTTTCTTGAGGTCATGCCACAGCATCTCAATCGGGTTGAGGTCAGGACTCTGACTGGGCCACTTCAGAAGGCATATTTTCTTCTGTTTAAGCCATTCTGTTGTTCATTTACTTCTATGCTTTGGGTCATTGTCCTGTTGCAACACCCATCTTCTGTTGAGCTTCAGCTGGTAGACAGATGGCCTTAAGTTCTCCTGCAAAATGTCTTGATAAACTTGGGAATTCATTTTTCCTTCGATGATAGCAATCCGTCCAGGCCCTGACACAGCAAAGCAGCCCCAAACCATGATGCCCCCACCACCATACTTCACAGTTGGGATGAGGTTTTGATGTTGGTGTGCTGTGCCTTTTTTTCGCCACACATAGTGTTGTGTGTTTCTTCCAAACAACTCAACTTTGGTTTCATCTGTCCACAGAATATTTTGCCAGTACTGCTGTGGAACATTCATATGCTCTTGTGCAAACTGTAAACGTGCAGCAATGTTTTGTTTGGACAGCAGTGGCTTCCTCTGTGGTATCCTCCCATGAAATCCATTCTTGTTTAGTGTTTTACGTATTGTAGATTCGCTAACAGGGATGTTAGCATTTGCCAGTGACTTTTGTAAGTCTTTAGCTGACACTCTAGGATTCTTCTTCACCTCATTGAGCAGTCTGCGCTGTGCTCTTGTAGTCATCTTTACAGGACGGCCACTCCTAAGGAGAGTAGCAGCAGTGCTGAACGTTCTCCATTTATAGACAATTTGTCTTACCATGGACTGATGAACAGCAAGGCTTTTAGAGATACTTTTATAACCCTTTCCAGCTTTATGCAAGTCAACAATTCTTAATCGTAGGTCTTCTGAGAGCTCTTTTGTGCGAGGCATCACTCACATCAGGCAATGCTTCTTGTGAAAAGCAAACCTAGAACTAGTGTGTGTTTTTTATAGGGCAGGGCAACTGTAACCAACACCTCCAATCTCATCTCATTGATTGGACTCCAGTTGGCTGACATCTCACCCCAATTAGCTCTTGGAGATGTCATTAGTCTAGGGGTTCACATACGTTTTCCACCTGCACTGTGAATGTTTACATGGTGTGTTCAATAAAAACATGGCAACATTTCATTCTTTGTGTGTTATTAGTTTAAGCAGACTGTGATTGTCTATTGTTGTGACTTAGATGATCATCAGATCACATTTTATGACCAATTTGTGCAGAAATCCATATCATTCCAAAAGGTTCACATACTTTTTTCTTGCAACTGTATATACCATTGTCAATTATACATAATATGGGCTTCAATTTTAATATTTTTTGATAAGCTTTTAAAATTATGTGATATTTTTGGATAAATTTGTAAAAATTATTTTGATATTTTTTTTATATATGGCATATAGGCTGTCCTCAGGGTCAACGAATTGGTCTGTAAGTGAGGATGTGTTAGCGAGCATGCGAAAGAGAGCAGGTCTACAATTCCCCCAAAATTAGACCAGTTCACTAGTGCAGGGAATCCTTAAGTGCAAGCCATCGTAAAACAAGTAGGTCGTTAAGTGAGGACCACCTGAATTTTTTATATTTTAATATTTGAGGGAAAAACTTTTTTTTTTGTACCCAAAATATGAAATAATTTAAAAAAGCCTTTTCAAAAATATTAAGTCAATTCTACTGAGTGCAGATATAAGATATTATAATATAGTAACATAGTGCATATTTTTATTTTTATAAACAACAGATATGCAAATAAGGTTGAGGTCCGTTATAATTATATGGAAATTGCTGCAAATTAAACATTGTCACCATTCATTTAACCCTCAAAATATACTAACAAAGCAAAATATAAGGGACACTAAAGTCACCCAAACCACTTCATCTCAGTGAAGTGGTTTGGGTTCAGGGGCCTATATATTTAATACTGCAATATAAAACATTGCAGTTTTGTAGAAACTGCAATGTTTATATTGCAGGGCTAAACACATCTCTAAGTAAAAATTGATCATGTGATGTTGCATATTATAGAAAAACATGAAATTCATTTTTTTTTCTTTTGAGAAGCATTTGGATGCCCACGCAGAGCTGGCAAAGGCATGGGCATGAGTCCAAATGCTCCTCTGTGTCACAGAAGGTTGGGTGCTCGGCAGCACCAAGGTAGCCTCACCACAATAATAATAATAATGCAGAAATTACTTAAATGGTTACTCCAAGCACCATGGCCATTTAAGTGATTTGAAGTGGTCATGGTCCATTAGCCTGTATGTGCAGCATTTCAGTATGAAGCTCTGATCACACTGAGATCATTGAAGTCAACCTACAGCAACATAATTAGTAGCCCTGGAATGAGAGTATGTTAAATCAGTGCATAAAAAAAACATCCAGTGTCAGACCGCATAACATGTTAGCGACTGACGTCCAGTAGTGGCATAGTCTCCCCCCGGTGCTGCCCCTTCCTTAGCCCAGCCTCTCTGGCATTCCTCTCCCTGCATTGAGGAGGGAAATGGCATCATTGAAGATTAATCAAAGTGCAGGAAGAACTTAGTCTGAGGAATTTGTTACAGGCTGTTCTAATACTCATCATGAATCCTTGGCAATGCTGACACGTGTGAAGTTGTAGTTGAAGTTCAGTATAGTTTATTTGTTTGTTATTAATGTGCAGTTGTCATCCCTAACATGACCTGGTATCACTTTAAAGAGCACGATGTCCTCAAAAGGCTGGAGAGGCTGTGCATGCCAAGACTTTTGTGATACTATCATGAGATTTAGAGGCGAGTCAGCTATTCAAAGCTATAACTCATACCGCGCTATGTCACTCCATCCAACCAATGTAGAATTTGGGTGTTATCAAACTGAAAGCTCAAAATATTCTTCCCTGATTGGGAATGTATAGTGGAGGAAATAATATGATCTAGTGACATCATATAACAATTCTGTTGATATTTGATTTAGTGTTGTGAATATGAGGTTAAGTAAGTATGGTAGATAGACTTGCACAACAGTTGGCAGTCAAAATGTGATGATTGTGTTTTGTGCATACATTTTGAAAATGGTTACTCTTACATGCTTTTTTATTTAAATAGAGATCATTTTCAAATTCTTCATAGGTCTGCGGGACAAACTAGAAAAGCCCTCTGCAAAGGACTCAAAGATGAAACACAAGCTGCCTCATATGGAGACATCACAATCAGAGCATGATTTCCTAGGATGTATGTCCAAGTGAGTAAACTAGAGCTTTTTATGTTGTATTGATTAAGAAAAATACATCATTGGTACTAACATAATTAAAGAAGATCTATCCCTCTGTGGGTTTTTTTTGTGCATATTTTGCAAAGATTCCCAAAAGGGACATATTTGGTGTAAGTCTGGTGGCCACTGTTTGCATGGGAAGGTAAGCTTTACTTACCTCAAGCTCACAACCACTGCCATCTTCGGCCTGAAGGTCTTTCAGTTGCTAGGAGCAGCTTCAGTGCTCTACTCTCAGAATCACAAGATCTATGGAAGATCTGGCAAGACTACAGGAGACTCCATAGAATATGACTGAATCTCAAAGCCATCACTGCTGCTGGGATTGGACCATTGTTAATGGCAGAGTACACCTTTTGCCAACCTCAGGATTGTCCATAAAGCAAAGTAGTCTCTTTGGATTGCATTGGAATTTCACTGAAATTCCAACACATTCTTGATCAGTAATTGATAAGGACTATACCTTCATGAAATACTAAAAAGTGTCAGATCCACTTTTTGTCTAACTTTTAGATCTTACTTTACAGCTGTGGATTTTCAGATTGATAGTGGTATTATGTACACGAGAGTTTGTGTTAAAGAACATTTGAATGCTTAATTGTAGTGATATATTTTACAATAAGCCTAAGCTGTTGCCTGACCATGCAGTATATTGCAAAGCATTGGAACCCACACAACTACTCAAACCATACGAACAGTCCAGAATTCAGACATTTTCCAATTCTGTTTCAAAGGAGATAATAACACGATCTGGACCATAGGTGTGCTTAAGGGTTAGGCTGGGAAACTGATATATAGGTCATTGGATGAAACAAAGAGAAAGAAAGATGGAAGGAAGTTCTTCCATGCCAGTATAGATTGAACGTAATATTTGTCCAATGCAAACTACAGAAAATCACAACTTTCCAACATAATAAATCAAATAAATATTTATTACTACATAGGAGCACTTAAACAGATGAAACAGATTAAACTAGACCCCAAAGATAAAACGGGTGCACAAATGTTAAGAATTCTGCTTTGTAGGTAAAACCTTTTACTAGACCAAGATTGCAGCATTTTTTTTGTTTTGTTTTTCTTTCTTTTTTTCTGTGACATTGAAAATTTGCTTTTGTTCTGTGTTATTGAAAACATGTGCATGCTATGCAAAATACATTTACTTGAAAACATACTATCATACTGTCATATTGGAAATATTGCTATAAGTGTTTTTTTTATAGGCTCAATAAAGATTTTCTTTTGATATAATTGGTGTGTATCTGGTATTATATTGTACAGTAAATAAGTATAACAGACGTGAGAAGCAATAACAATGCATATCTTAGACCTAACAAAAGAAAATAGAAGTTCGAGGTTTGCTCTCATACTGCAAAACGTTGGTAAAATGGCTAAAGGGGTAAATACTGGGTAAACAGTGACATTTAAATTTTCTGTTCATATACCTTTATGATTGTACTACACTATACATAATATATCTAGCTTATAACCATGCACATTTGAAACGTTAATTAGAATAAGGATGTATGTGTCACAACTGAACTTTAACTTTGCTACTGTCATTTATTTTATACTCATAATAGGATATTGTTGGCACCATGCAGGTAATGGTGCCATTTTCTAAATGCATGGTCTATTGATTTTCCTCTCCCAGGCGCTCTGGACTGCCACGTTGGATTCTAGCTGCTTGCCTCTTCTTATCAATCATGGTAATGCTGTGGCTTAGCTGTGCCAGTCTGGTGACAGCACCTGATCAACACATAAAGGCACAGGTAGAGTACTTTGACATAGCAGAACACTTCAAGTCACTTTAATTGTTGAATAAACAGAAAGAGCACAGAATTTGTCCAATCTCTTTCCTTGTACCATGTTGTGCATACAAAAGCTGTGCAAAAGTTTGTTTTGTCCAAATCAAATGCCTTTTAATCTGCACCTGGACAAATTAAATAATTAAGACTCCTCTGGTATTGATTCTTCTGTTTGTGGATTTAAAGGCATGAACCATCCGAAACAATCTTTTGCACCAGTCTAATGCATCCACTATTTTGTCTGCAAAAACTCAGTCACCATTGACATACGTAAATTGCTAAATAAAAGCAGGTAAAATAATCATTTGTCATCATTTTACTTCTGTTTGTGATTCTCCAGGGGGATTTGGAAGCTGCTATTCAGAAAATAGTTTAGATAAGTCATCCACATAGTTTTACCTTTAATTATTCATAAAAATTTTACGGGAAGAATACATTGTAAAATTGCATTTCTGCCAGCATATCCTGGAAAGTTCAGCTGACTAAGTATTACAGTTTTATGCATATAAAGCATATACAAAACAAACATTACAGTTTCATTGTAAATACAGAGAGGCAGAACTCTGCCATTTCAAAGTGGTTAGAGGACAGCTGTTTTCTGGATGGTTATTCCATATTGTATTGTTCTGTAGGAGAAGCCTGCTAACCCTACCTAAAAATACTTTGTGGTACAAGGAATTATTTGTCATAAAAGTTAAAGCGAACTGGAGGTATTAGAAGGAGTGGGAAACTGATTTAATAGCATGGGGCTCAGCCACTGTAGAAGCATGCTAGAGAGATAATTATGAACCAAGCAAAAAAGCACTGATTTTAGGAGAACTTTTGGATGATAGTTTAGCAATGCGAAGTCCAGGTGATATATCAGTCTTGCCACATTCCAAAATATTTTAAAGGATCACTATAGGGTCAGGAACACAAACTTGTATTCCTGACCCTATAGTGTTAAATCTAGCCCCACTGGACCCCTCATGCCTTCATAAATATAGCAAAATCTTACTGTATTCATGCCTAAAGCTGTAACTCTGCATGCTGTTTGACTCAGAAAAACAAGCAGGCTGCTGACATCCTCAGAAGTGGTAGCCTGATCCAATCACAATGCTTCCCCGTAGGATTGGCTGAGACTGTCAAGGAGGCAGATCAGGGGCAGAGCCAGCATGATTCAAACACAGCCCTGGCCAATCAGCATTTCCTCATAGATATTAATTGAATCAATGAACCTCTATGAGGAAAGGTCAGTGTCTGCATGCAGATGGAGGAGATACTGAATGTTGGAATGCATTTTAGGCAGCCATGACACAGGGAGGATCTCTAACAGCCATCTGAGGAGTGGCCAGTGAAGTTATCACTAGGCCGTAATGTAAACACTGCTTTTTCTCTGAAAAGACAGTGTTTACAGCAGAAAGCCTGAAGGTAATGATTCTACTCACCAGAACAAAGTAAATAAGCTGTAGTTGTTCTTGTGACTATAGTGTCCCTTTAAGTGTTAACGGGACCAAGCTGCAATGTTACATTACATTTGGATATGTAACTGGGATTGCTTACGTTGAGTATTTTGGTGTTTTTCCAAATACCATTGAAATTGATGAATGTAATTGTGTATGAAAGATCATTTTGTTGGTGAGATCTGTCTTTAAGCTTGAAATCCTGCTGTAATGCAAATTGTGAAATGTTATGGTATCCTTGTATAAACTATCGTATTGTGTGAATAAATGCTCACAGTATTTCAGTATTCAGTATTGAACAGGGATCTGTATATTTCAAAAAGACTTGACTCTAAAACATTACTAAATCATATCTTATGCGTTGCCACTTGATTTAAATTGGTTTGACAGATTTTCAGCTATATTTTGTTGTATAAAATGTTTTAAAACTCTATATCAGGACTGGGAAAAGGGTAAGTTGTTTCCCCTCAACACAATGTTATACTATAATTTTGTTTTTTCACAAACAAACTACGAGAATGGGGAAAGAAAATAATAAAATGACTTGACTGCAAACTTAAGCGAAAGTTTTAATTAGTAGGGCACGTTTCTACAAAAAAACCAAAAAAACAACTTTTCAGTCAAATGTAAGGAGTCCCATAGGAACCAAAACCCAGTTCTTATTTAGTAATTATTGTTTATAAAAGCGGTACACATCTAGCGCAAAACCTGTGCATCCACAAACCATTGGTTACCATTCATCAAAGGAAAAAGTATGTCAAAACGTTCAATGCACAAAGCTCTGGTTCTCACTGAAATTTGTAGTTACTTTTAAATACTTTGGACACTGTGTGCTCCTTAGTAATTTTCCTATTTTAGTTCCTTTGCTTACTTACTCTACCAGTTGTGCTGCTAAATTTATCTTAACCCCTTAAGGACGGAGGCAATTTATCTTAACCCCTTAAGCACAGAGGCAATCGAATTTGAGCTACAGGTTTGTTCCACCATAATTTAAGAGTTTTACTTTAAGTGCCCCCACACATATTATATATTTGGGCCTTTTAAGGACAGAAAAGGCTTTTATTTAATTTCCTATATGTATACCTAAAACAACAACATATTGTATATAAAAAATAGAAAACTGGTGGGGGAAAAAACTTGTTTTTTTATATTTTTGCTTATAATACATTTTTACACATCCAGTGCAACAAAAAAATAAAAACCTCAAAATATATTTATATATCAGTCCTGATTGTTAAATGTTGAATATGTCTACGATCTAAATACCTTTTTTAAGTTAATGCTAGCCCTATACCAACCCCCACACTAACGCTATGACACCCATACTCCTTACCCAATGCTTACACTAACTCTAACTGTATGCCTTAACCATAACCCTACACTATACCTAACCCTAAAACAGCATTCACCCATACCCAGCATTAACCCGTATCTTACCATAACAGTACCTTAACTCTAATGCTACCCTACTCTTACCTCTAAATCTCAAAAATCACTGCTAATATCATTACTGATATTAGAGATTGGTTTTACTATTTAACACAGCAAATGGTGATCTGTGACCGCCATCTAATGGACTTTTTCAAAATTACACGTAGTATAAAACAAAAGAAAACTCATCTTTATTCCAGTGCTGCATGGGTCTGCTGGCTCTGGCTCTACCCATGCTCCACCCACTTGACTGAGATCATAAACAGTGATGATCTCAGCCAATCCAACGCTTTCCCAGTCAGCATCTCCTCATAGATATGCATTAAATCAAACTATGTGGGGAAAGTCCAGTGCATCCATGTCACTAGAGGTGTCCCTAGACAGTAATGTACAAACTGTTTTTTCTGAAATGGAAGTGTTTACTGCAAAATGCCTGCAGGGACTGACTATACTCACCAGAACAACTACATTAAGATATAGTTGTTCTAGTGACTATAGTGTCCCTTTAACCCTGCTCACATCAAATCTATAGGGTGTTCAGTACGTCCTAACAACATTAAGGGCATAAACAAGCTTTCAGTTTAGAGTTCTGTGTGTCAAAATTCCAAATAGTCTTATCACACCTGTAAAAATGTGGAATATTGTTGATGTAAAATGTCCAGAAAGATGTCATTCTGGAAATGAATGAATGCAATCAATTCATATAATTTATTTTAAAATAATAATTAATTAATATAGATTGTTTTTACATTAAAAATGAAGCTGTAGACATTTTGTAATTTAAAAGTATAATTTCCTGTTGTTGTCAGTTTCCTGTTGTTGTCAGATTAACTAGTGATTTTTCTTTATTGAAAGTCATACTCAATATGTAATGTTTCATCTATCTCTCTCAATAGCCACTGAGCATCAACGGGGACAAAGAATATCTTGATGACATGGAAAAGCCCGCTCCATTTCCATTGCAACCAGTAGTTGCAGTTACTATCTGCCCCACCGAAGAAAGTGAGGAGGCAGGACCACTCCCAGTCAAGGTTGACCTGGACAAAACCATGATTTAAGATGACCTTTTATAAACCCGTAGCATTAGAGGGTGTGTGCATCACAATGCATTGTGGTCCTCTACAGCATTAGAGGGGATATGTCTCTTTAATTGGGTTTCATGAACTATACTCTTTTTGCTTCCTTTCTTTGCAAAGCATCTAGATGGTTCAACTACCACATAAAACCATGACAGAAATTATCTGGTCATGTGGAATTTTCTTTGGACAGTGAAAAGCTGCAGTAGGCATGTTGGCCCTGCATACAAAAATGGGTTCTTTTCAAACTGGTGACAATTGTTCATAGGTGTAATACGAATACAAGGCAATGGCAGGATAGATATAATTTAGTGTAGGAAGAACTGGATTTTAAGAAATCACATTTAGGGTTATTTACTAAAGAGAAAGTTCAAAGTTAACTTCTGAATCAGAAAGTAAAAATTCTGAGTCAGATAGGCATTTAGTTCAGGGTTTTAAATTTGAAAGTCACTTTGAATACTTCTTGAATAGTCACACTTTAGTAAATTAACCCTGATAGGGTTCAAAAACACCATTTATAAGTTTAAGCTTTGACATATGTGTCACAGTTTTAAAAATAAAATACATCATGATTTGCTGTTTAAATCTAGTGTTTTGTATAATAGTATTTGTATAAAGACCCTTATATGGCATGTATTTTATTATATGTTACCCTAATTATCATTTGCTTACACATCTATTAAAGGCTACCGTTTTGTATGCTAATTGCAACGCAGATTCCATGCAAAAAATGCTGTATTTTCGGAATTGTCTGTTTCCTGTAATCTAGTGCCTAAATGGGACTTTGTACATGCAATAGGTTGTTATGTTTGCTTTGTAGGTGTTTTTTTTTATTATTTATTTATAGACGCACATATGTTTGTTTTTCGTTAATTATTAATTTTATTTTTCAGTGGCAAGAAAGCAGGACTTAGTAGAATAAAACCAGATTTGCTTGTCAATCTCTCCCCATTATGCTTTTAATAAAAACTGACTACTTTGAGTTACTGTTGACTGGAAATAACATAATAACAGGATTTGCATTTAAAGGGCAGACATCATGTTTTCACATCACAGTATCTCATCTGTTTCTTTCATTAAAATGCTAGTACAGAATCACATGAAATAATCTTAAAAACTGGATCATGCTGACTTTAATACGCTTTTATGCATTGGTACGAAAATGAAAATTATTGGTAAAATGTTCTGGTGGAAGTTGATTGGAATGTAAGTACATTTTTGTTAATGAAAATCGTCAAAGGCAATAGTACAACAATTATCGCTGCATATATGAGTTATTTGGTATATGTCAGTCTTTCTATGCATCTGTCTGTCTGCCTAAACTATATTTCAATTAAACAAACCGCATAGAATGGCTTACAAAATTAAACTGCTGGAAAGCAATCTCTCAAGATCAATAAATATATTTATCACATCTCTCCTTCACCAGGCTCAAAATCTAATATTCTGTGTGCACAAAGTTAGATATAATTGGGACACAGCAATACTATTTAATTACATAGTGAAATGTATAGATAAATGCAGAATCCAATGTGTTTTGGTGATCATACTTAAAAGTGAACCCATCAACCCATCATCAAGTTAAGATAGGGTTGGACAAACGGTAGAACCCAAAATTTTCTGAACATTGTAAAGGCTGGCAAACCATCATGGACACTGAAGTTCTAGAACCTCTGGAAACCTACCATTTGCCCAGCCTGTCATGTATTCAGTACTTCTAAAAATATATATATAAAAGCATTGTTTCCATGGAATCATATATAGGTTCATAAAAATGACACAACTCTGAAATCCTATTATCCCTTATGACTTCTGCTCCAGTTTTAAGACTAGCTTGATCTTAAAAATGTACAAAATAACTAGCCAGTCACAAAGAGGATGTGTGGTGCATGCTGATGAGTCTAATAGTCTAAGACAAATGTCCTTATAATTATACCTGTATATTTGACTAGCAAAAAGGTGACCAGATATTAAGTTTAGCAGGTATTTTAAAAACAGGTTGATACACATTCCATCTCTGGCCACAAACTAGCTTCAAAGACTGTGCACCAATGTGTCTTCCCAGCATCCCTTGCGATTCTCAGAGACTGCCATTATACAGTAACTCAAAATTCCATGACAGATGATGCAGAATGCTGGGTGGATGTTACTGTCAGATCCTGCAGTATGGCTTGCTTGTGGCTAAAATTAGAATGTGTGATTAAAACCTTGTAATTTTCCATATCTGCTATGCCTGCTATTCTGTATATTTGTTAAAAATTTGGGCTGTGTATTTACAAGTTATACCATTCATTAGGTATGACTGAGTGGCTGAAGGATGACGTTACTAGCAATGCAACAGCCGATCCCAAGACCGAATGTGGATCATCCTGCCAGGCTATATTTATAACTAAAAGTCTATACGGGACTAGGAACAGGTTGAATTACAGGCCAATGACTAGCAAGATCAACATACAGTGTAATGCCGACAGAGGCAGATGTTTAGACTTGGGTCAAAACAGTATGTAAACAGTAGATAAGAAATAAGAGGAGAAACTATTACTAGCAATCTCCAGGTTAAAAAAATATATAAAACTAGCGAAACCTGTATATAATTTCTATGCCAGAATGATTTATTGCTCTCTATTTTTTGGCAAGAGTGACTCTGGGGACAATCCCTATTTTGGAGTCACTTTTAGCTGTTAGTAGCTGCACTGGACAATGTGTGAACATGAGCAGGACAAGAAAAAAGTATTCCATATGTGTTTGTTTATTTTCTATTAAGTCATACTTCTAGATATGTGCTAAAGAAAATGTACTCCTTTAGTACTTGACATGTGTTGCCTTTATTTGTCTGTATGCCACGATTTTTTCCCATATGTAAAATCATATCATTAATTACCTCCATTAAAAACTGTTTTTGCTCCTGTAATTGGTGCCTGTGATAATAGACGATGGGGTACAATGGGGATATTTACTAATGAGAAATAATAGTTGAGCTTTCACTCCAGTGGAAAATGCCCATCAGGTATATATATAATAGACACCTAGTGCACTGGATATTAAAATCATGTGCTCATGGAATGTAGTTTGCTAAGGAAAACACAGAATTATAAATAGATATGCAACAATAGTTGAGATTTTAAAACAAAAAAAATCGTATATTTTCCTTTTTCTTACACTAACTCAATACTCTAATTTCCCTCTTCAAACTATGTAGGAATAGTCAGTTTATGTTTTATTATTATTAATACACTTGGGATTTCAAACTGCAATATTTTAACGTTATACTTCTACTCAACGTGACAGCATCTTACTGTGTGGCATGCAAAATTGTACAATGTAGAGATTTGTGTCTAACAAATATGAAGTATGAATGGTTTAATTATAAAATTATCACCTGACTGTAAACCCTTTTAATATATCGCTAAATGAAAACCAAAGTAAGGCACCATTTCACGAGAAACGGCTGATTAATTCATAGTTGTTATAATGGCTGACCCACTGGAAGAGGAAAATATTTCATATTTGATAGACCATTAATCAGAAATCCAGGTCTTGCACGAGGATTTGCAATTAAGGAGATATGAAATGCAAGATCAGGATACAGTCTGCAGTCTGGGCAAGTGCCAGGATTTGTTAGGAGTGAAATCAGATAAAGAAAATCCCCTATGCCAGAATTTATAGGTATTGAACGTATTTTGTGCAACTTGATGTAGAGATAGAATTGTCATTTGGGCTGCATCACAAAATCACTTGTCTGAGGTCCGCCAACTCGGATTATAACAGTAGAATTTTTTTGGTGTTTTTAGGTAATATGTGAGGAAAGAGCAGGATTATAATGATCTGTTTATATATGTGCTTCTTTACATTAATCTTGTATCTTTGCTTATGTACCAAGTTAGAATATGCATTCATGATGTGGCTTATGGTAGTTTGTGTAGTCTTTTAGTTTTCACTAGAAGCTCCATGTTTTGTTGTTGTGATTAGGTTGTACCTACTTCATATGCACATTACATTCAAAATACATCTCATCCTCACGACTGTTTTCTGTCATCAGTTATTGGCATATACATCAACAAACATTTGGTTGCTGGCTGTGTTCCCATATTAGTGCTAGAATTGTTTTGGATGTGACAGGTCTCATGTAACATTGCCCTGTTCATTGCCCTTTACTAAAAATTTTAGAGAGGATTATTTCCTTTTTGTGAAGCAAATCTTTAAAACTGCACTTACAAGTTAAATGTGTTTTTTTATGGTCTCATGTACCTCTCTAGCTCTTGTGAAATGACTTTATTGAGTTTCCTAACAATTATATAGCTACATCCTGGAGACCTTGTGTATGTATACAGACACAGTCACACAAGAAACCACAAACAGCATGTTAAATGTCATGGCCTTGCAAGGTGATTTCAGGTTTACAAAACTGCACAATAGTTGAAAAGCGATGTGTTCCCCACTACTCGTTTAAACTATCACTTATCCAATGCAAAAAAAGATTGTGAATACCATGAGATGAATATTACACATGTGCCTACTGGACTTAAAATCAATTTAGTTTTGACCAGTCGTGAAGCTAAAGCACTATTCCAGAATCAAATGATCTTTACGTCATACATGTATAATTTCAAGACCAGACTTGGAAACACACCAGATGACGGATGATTCCTCTGAGAAGATCCATAGCATTGAATATATTAGTTAGCCAGTTCAGGAAACATAAGTCAAAGCATGTAGTGACCACCCACAAAAATACCCTAATTTATAATCGATCGCATTTAGATTTTTTTTTTCTAAAATATATGCTAAAATCTCAGACGTGTTACAGATTTGTGAAGTGAGGACCAGGCCATCTTACTGACAGCTGGAGCACCCCATCTGAACACGAGGAAGAAATTCTTGATCCTGATGATTCTTCACAAATGCCTTGGGATAATGGTGATAGCCTATCTCTGGAACACTAGGTGGTCCTTTCTAAACCTTTCTACTCTCATATCTCCTGCACCTCTACAGGCTGAATTAAGTGTCCAAAACACTTCCTGGTCCTCCATTTGAGAGAGAGAGGCATTGACCCAAAACAGATGAAACATGGAGGCCAGAGTCTGCGTTCAGAACAGCATGGTGAACTGAGAGGATATTTAAGTGATCAAAGGATTTGGGCAAAGGAAGGACACAGATTTTTTTTTCTGTCGGGCACAACAAAATAGCGCACAAAGTGGGAAACGAATACCTGAATTGGTATAGCTTACGAACCTAAATATAGCACATATTGACTAAAAGCAAGGGACTGAAAAATTACTAAAGATCTAGGTTTGGTTATAAGACATGCTTCATTTAGGAAACATTTCATCAGAGTCATATATATTTATTAGGCCTTTTTAGCTTTATCAGGAAATACATGGAAACTGTTTGGACTTCCTTAATCCCGATTTTCAATTTTTGAGCAGTACAAGCAGACAAAATTTTACCAAAATGGAAATTGGAAAAAGAGGTAAGCTCTTGAAAAAAGTTTTTTCTTAAAGAAGAGACTGGATGTGTAAGTACACGTTTACTATTGAAAATATATAAAAATATTTCTTAAAATAAATACAATATATCAGAGATGCTTTATATGTACTATTTATGAATACAATATTCTCTGAGGAAGCACATTCATTTTAAACATCCTTCTTACTACAGTTTGATGTGATCTTGTACCCCTATTAATCATGTGGATTCAGTGAACCTATATTCATTCGGTCTGATTCTGATAGATGAAACCATTTAGAGCTCCATAAATAATAAGTAAATATCTGATATTCCCAGCTGTCATACCTTCCCTTCCTGTTAAAGTTCTAATAGTTACTGTAACTTCCTTTACCAGTGCCGCATTTAATTTTATATTTTTTCTGAATTCAAGAGTAACCAGATATCTGAATGAAATGAAAAATTACAATGATGTAAATCTTGGGATGCAAATTACATTCTATAAAACTTTTTAAAACTTTTAAAAGTTTTATGATTCTATCTTCCAATTAAACTGAACACTTGTATTCTTATTTGTGGATTGTAACCTATTTTATGTCTCAAATAAACTTATTGAAAAACAAAGTTTAGAGCCTAATGCTATAAAGCTAATTTAATTGTGTGTTTGAGTGTATGTCTACATTTACAACGTGTGTTTCTCTGCATTTAAGACTGTGTGTATCTAGCTGTAATTACCATAAGTACTTAAATTTGCCTTTGAACAAACATGAGCTTTTACTATTTGGAATTTACAATTGTGTTGGAATCCCGCATTTTAAGAGTACAAAACTTTTATTTTTTTAAAAATTGAGTTTTATTAGCAATTGACAATGTAATATCTTTTAGGTGTGATGTATAATTTGATGCATGTATAGTAATGGTAGGACTCCAGGCCTAAATACCTATATTTTAAATATATAAATACATCATATAAATGTTGTAACTCCTATAGTAGATGAGTAGCTGGTGTAAGCTGTTCTGGCACTGAATTTATTTTGCTTTCTCCGTCTTTACATTTTCAAAAGCTCAGCATTTATTATAGGTTGTAAACATAAAATATTACACGTATCAACACTTTTTTCTTACTCAAGCTACAGCTAAGGCACTTGCTCGTGCCCTCAACATTTCCCAACTTGACTATTGCAACTCACCAATCATCTGCCTTCCAAATACCCAAATTGCCCATTTTCAGCCTTTAATTAATGAATGCTGCCGCCAGGCTCATCTTCTTTACTGACAGTCCTCCCATACCTCACCCTTTTCCAATCAATATATTGGCTTCCCTTACCCTTTAGGAACAACTTCAAACTGCTAACAGTAACCTACAAAGCCCTCATTAACTCCTCTCCTCACTGCATTACCTTCTTCTTCTTGTTCATGCACTGTTAACTTTCATCTGCAAGATTTTTCAAAGGCTGTCCCTTTCCTTTTGAATTTCGTACCCCATGTCATCAGAATCTCCCATAGCCCCAGTCCTTTAAAAAAGTCATTGAAAGCAAATGTGTTTAGGAAACCCTACCATGTTCCTAAATTATGCTCTCTTACTATCTCCTTACACACACCACTTTTTGTTGGAACTATATACATTCTAATAATAACAATGGGAGATAACATTAATTCATGGAATAGTGCAAAATATCAAGCTAAAGGGAAGATAATGGGACAGTTGTTCTATGCTGCAAAAAGTAGAGGAGATTTCAGGTAACATACCATAAACTATTTAACAGTCTGTGAAAATAATTTGGTGAAATAACATAAAAAAGAAGGAATAGTAGAATTGTAGACTACCCACAAAAGAAATGGAACAAAAACACTCTATATAACAAGGTATACACCAACAGTGGGTATATAGTGAAAAGGTGATCAATGTAATTTTACCCATATATAGGACAATAGATTGTAAAAAGACTCTTCTTGTCTTCCAAACAAATGTGTAAAAAATACAATCTTAAAAAGAGAACGCAATAGTGTAATATTAAAGACTCCAAACAGTGATGGAGAATGTATTGCACTCACAAGAGTTTAATTGATTGCAGGCTCTTATCAGTATCAGTAAGGGAAAAGCCTTCTTTTATTCTCTTCCCAAGTTAGTACATGTAAGTGAAAGAAAGAGAGATCAACATAGTGCATAAAATACTTAAAAAGGAACACTTATTTCAATTGCACTCACAAGATATATATAGTTATAAGATGCACATCAAAACATCCAACATCAATGCGCAGGTCCAGTCCCACATTGACAGGAACGGAATCATGGCAATTAATTAAAATACAAAAGAAAAAAACTATGAGAAATAAATAAAATAATAAAGAATCCAACTTGCGATAAAGAAGCTCAGCACATATGTAGGACTCCTAGCCCTATGCATTTCGTCCGATATAGGACTTATTCGGGGGCATTCCAATGTGTGTGTGGAAATCCTCTCCTTTTTGGTTTAAAAGGCTTCCTTTTAGATGCCATCAGACAATCAGGAACGGTGGCTTGTTGTGCATCACATTTTTATTTCATTTCTGTAGATTTTTTTTATAAAAAGGTTTTTATAGATTTATTTTAATTAATTCATAATTATATTGTCATTAGAATATTATATGACAATCTACCTTTATTTTATTTTAATATTTATTTCTATACTTTTATTGGTATTCATTTTCTATTCAAGATTTGGAACATTTCTCATAAATGTCTTTAGTTAGATCTGGTTATTTAGAATTAGTATATAAAAATATTATTCATTTTATTTCATTTTAAATTATACATATTAAGTCTTTTATATTTCAAGTCTGGTAGTAGGATTCTTAATGTGTTATTTCTTGTTTTCATTTCTTATACAATGTCAATATGGCTTGAGAACGTTACTTCCGGGTTGCACGTTGGAAAGCATTAAGTGCTCCCGGCGGAACCGGAAACACGTCATTGGATCGCAATTTTGAGGTCAAGATTTGGGACACAGAAGTTCTATTATTGTTTGCAGGTGATACACAACAAGCTGCCGTTCCTGATTGGCTGAAGGCATCTCGGAACGGCGCGAAGGAAGACATTTTAACCAAAAAAGAGAGGATCTCCACACACACATTGGAATTTCCCTGAAGAAGTCCTACATTGGACGAAACACGTAGGGCTGGGAGACCTACATAAGTGCTGAACTTCTGTATCGCAAATTGGATTCTTTATTATTTTATTTATTTCACGTCGTTTTTTTATTTTAATTAATTACCATAATTCCGTCTCTGACGGTCTGGACCTGCACATTGATGTTGGATGTTTTAATGTGCATTTTATAACTATATACTTATTGAAATAAAAGTGTTCCTTTTTAAGTATTTTCTGCACTATGTTGGTCTCTCTTTCCTTCCCTTACATGTACTAACGTGGGAAGAGAAGAAAAGAAGGCTTTTCCCTCAAAGGTACCAATAAAGAACCTGCCATCAATTAAACTCTTGTGAGTGCAATATATTCTCCATCACTGTTTGGAGTCTTTAATATTACACTGTTGAGTTCTTTTTTCTTTTTTAGATTGTATTGTTTATAGACTACCAACAAGCAGGAGTTATGGAGAAACCACATTTTGGGGAAATTATGGGGGCAACTCTATTTTGTTAGTAGACTTGGTAGGAGAAAATATAGAGAGCCTTTGTATAAGTTACTAAATCCACTTGCCATGGTTATGCATGTGTATCAATTACAATATCAATTAACACATGGCATGAGGAGGCTGTTAAAAAGTGTGTGGCTCATAAATCCGTTATTCGTGGGATATTATTGAGTAGAGCATCTTACCTCAAGAAAAAAAATCATACAGCACTGATTACTCTCCTTAAAAAAACTACAGGATCTTCATAGAGAAAACCAAGCAGACTCCACCCAAGCTCTTCAACAGCAACTTCTGGAAGTGCGTCAAGAGATTAATGCAATCCATTCCAAGAAAGCTAATTTAGCAATAAAGAAATTAAAGGCGACATCTTACTCTATGGGAAATAAGGCTACTAAAGTTCTGGCACAAAGACTGAGGAACAAACAAGCACAAGCAAGAATTCCATTTATAAAGACGCATGGGGGCCATAAAGTTATGCAACCAGTACAGATATGTAATGAATTTGCACAATACTATACGACTTTATATAATTTGAAAGATCAGCATATTCTACCTCAACCCACGCATATATCTACACGCTCATACCTGGCAAACATCTCCCTTCCTCAAATAACACCAAAACATTTAGAAAAACTATGTGCACCTATCACTACAGATGATGTGTTGCACCTAATTGAAAATATGCCAAAAGGGAAAACACCAGGTCCAGATGGTTATACTAGTGAATATTATGCTACATTCAAACATGAATTAATTTTAGCTCTTACTAGCTTTTTTAACAACGCCACTAGATTGGGATCTTTCCCAACTGAGTTCCTGTCTTCCCATGTAATTACTATCCCTAAACCGGGGAAATCGTCAACGATGTGTCAAAATTTTAGACCAATATCTCTTTTAAATGTTGATGCAAAACTTTATGCAAAGATCTTTGCAGAACGACTCAGTAATATCATACCGACATTAATACACACGGACCAAGTGGGATTTGTGACGTGCAGACAGGGACCAGATAACACTCGGAATGTGCTAGATTTATATGGAATTTAAAAACGCACCAAACAGGAGAGTATTATGATATCCCTTGATGCCGAAAAGGCGTTTTACCGTCTGAACTGGTAATTCCTTCAGGAAACTTTATCGGCCTATGGATTTCCACCTTTTTTTCTTTCTGCAGTTAAAGCTCTATACAGTGCACCTTCAGCAACAGTATTGTATGCAGGTTTCCAGTCGCAAGATTTTTCAATCACTAATGGGACCCGTCAGGGATGCCCATTATCTCCACTTCTATATGTGCTAGCTTTGGAACCTCTCGCAATATCAATACTGAGAAACTGTAGCATCCATGGTGTGTTAGTAGGCAACAAGGAGTATAAACTTAGTTTATTTGCAGATGATGTATTTCTTACAATAACGCAACCATTTATAACACTCCCTTCTTTGCATAAAGAACTGCAAATATACAGTCAACATTCATACTACAAACTTAATATCGTAAAAACGCAAACTATGTGTCTTAACACTACTAAAGCAATGGAAGATAGATTAAAAGCAAGCTATCAGTATGATTTGAGAGAAGATTACTTAATATTTTTAGGTATCAGAATAACCAATAAAGAGAAAGAACTCTTCTCAGCTAACTATACGAAGCATTTGAAAGAAATTGATAACCAGCTGGACTCATGGAAGCATCTGTTTTTATCTTGGGTAGGAAGGATTGCAGCACTCAAAATGTCAATCCTACCAAAGATTTTATATCTTTTTAGATCATTGCATATTAAACTTCCACAAAAGTACATATCGTCTCTCCAAGCATCTATTGTATGTTTCAGCTGGGGTGGCAAACACCCTAGAGTACCCAAGGCTCTACTTCTGAGAAATGTGAAGAACGGAGGAATGGGAATACCAAATATAAGAGCATATTATCACTCAGCCATCTTAATGAATGTTATCAGCGCCCATTCAACTGAGGCAAAGAAGGGAAAATATGTTATCTTCCACTAAACATCTTCTTAGAATCTGGGACACTTGCAGGGACAAAATATGTTCAGCATACCTATTGGCCCCTCGCGACCCTAATTAAAATATTATTCTATTGTAATGGTACGTTTCCCTATCAGAAATGGGAAAAAGCAGGTATCACACATTTATTTCATTTATGCAACAAAGAGGGCCTTAAATGTTTTCCAGCATTGCAAGAAAAATTTTCATTGCCCTCAAATTTTACATTTGCTTATCTTCAAATCAAAGCGATTGTAACTATAACCAAGATTTCAATAGGAAGAATCAACACTACAAGCTTCTATAATGGAATTTGAAGAACAATGTTTATCGTTACTCCGTCCTCCAAAAAAGACACTGTCTATCTGCTATCAAAAACTTGCTAACCCCGCTGTGCAGAGCAATTGGAAATTCATGCAAGACTGGCAAGAAGACTTACAAGTTAATATTCCTTTGACTGAATGGAAACAAATTTTTACTGCTCACATAGGACTAACCACCAGTATCGCCCATCTTGAAGCCGAACGGAAAATTCTTTACAGGTGGTACTTGGTAACAACACATCTAAACTCTATGTGTCCTGCAATGCCAGACCAGTGTTGGCGACGTCATAAATGTAAAGGTACTATGTTACATGTTTGGTGGTCATGCTAAGCTGTAAACTCTCTATGGAACGACATTACAAAGATGATAAAACAAGTTACAAATATCGAGTTGTCCCACGAGCCTAAAATCATACTGCTACGATTACTTCCAAGTAATGTACCTAAGTCAATCAAGAAAATGATTTTCCTCTTATTGAGTACAGCGTCTATACTAATTGCTAGACAATGGAAAACCAAGGTTTTACCTTCTCGGCGAGAAATTGAAGAAGTAATGACCTCAACAGTGTAACACGAATTGTTAATGTGGAATCAGAGGAAAATAGGGAAAATGAGCCCCTGCGTAGATCAAATGTGGCGGACATATTTACTAACGGAACACTAATTAAATCTTTGTACATCTAGATAAATATAGAGGCCTCAATATGGAATACATTTTCTGATTATAATCAAATCCATAGAGGGTCTCATCTAATCAGTTAAGCAATAAAAATTGATATCATAAATTATCCCAAGCTATTGTAAGCTAGAATAGGGGACAAGTTAACAGACTACTACTTAGGTACCATTCTCACGTGAGTAAGTTGCTTCTTTCCTTTTACCTAGTTAATAGGTTATTGTTTCCCTTCCCTTTTCTCTCCCTTCCCTCTTCTCCCCTCCTTTTTTTTTCTTTTTCATCAATAACGAGGTTTAGATAAAGTACAAGATCATTATCTTGAATAATGGTATAGCTTTTAGTAGTTCAAGATAATTAGAATCCATGGGTAACCAAAATTTGGAAATATGTCTCCCTCGTTACTAGGCATGGTTGGCACAGTGATACCCTTTGGAGTGACAACTGCTTTTATCACTGGTTAAAGCAAAGGAGGCAATATAAGGGTTAGTTAAAGAAGTATTTGTGAATGTGTGTATCAATTACCATTGTAATTTACTTTATATATTTTAAGACACACAAGCTATATAAGATAGGTCACGTTTTGAATTTTGACTATATTAAGTGATGAACTATATGTTACAATAATTGAAGATATGTATTGAGATAAATGATCTCGTTTGGATGTTCCCTTCCCCTTTTTTCTTTCTGTATCCTTTATTATTTGGAAAAATAGAACAAAAGAGGCAAATTGAAAAAAAAAAAGTGTGTGCTAACTATAACAATTTGTTTTTCTATACAAATGCTACATTCAACATAGAAAATTAATTCAAAGTAGGGGATTATTTATACATTATTTAAATAAGTTACAAGGCTTCCTACTCTGCTCTCTATAATCTTTTAGCTAGTGTGTTCAAAGTAGGATCTACTTAAACGTTGAAGACATTTACACAGTGTGATTATAATTTTTTTTTTTATTTTTTTTTTTAAATCCCTTGTATAGTCAATAAGCCAATAATGTTGTTCTTCTCACTCCAGGCACCTATGATTGAACAAAGCTTCAAATATTTATAACTTGTTTTGTTTGTGTTACATCCAATGTTTAATATTTGCACCTTTTACTCTAATCTGCCACCTTCCAGGAAAACACTGTGAAACAGGAAAGACGCTATGTGATATGCTCAGTCCTCTTTCAGCACAGGAGACCAAGTTTCAAGTAGATTCATTCATGAAAAAAAAAACATGTATGAAGCTATTGTTGAGCAGTTTCTATTAAATCACTTCATTATTTTTATCAGTCAAAATTTTTATATCTGCACATACTGCATATTGTAAAAGTTTTAAAAGAAACCAATGGTTTCTGAGCAATCAATAGAAAATTAGCAGATTTAAGAGTTTGTCCCAATTCACAATTTATGTCCTTACTTAAATGTAATTTTTTTTTTTCATTCTATTTTTCATGTCCCAACTTCATAACACATCTAAATGGAATGGTATAAACCCTTGCTTGTATTGTTGTTTTCTTGCATATATCAATTGTTGCATATAATTTAATTGTCACACGACACACTCATTCTCATACAGCGAATTAAATATCCAATTTGTTCTTGCTTAAACTGTACAACTTTGATATTGAAGATCCTGCTTTCTTCCACATTTATTTTCATTTTGTGAAAAGCAACTGTGATTCCACCTGAATTTGGTACACTCATGACACCAGCATGTGTGGTGGGAAAAAATAATTTTTTATAGTATTTCTATAAAATGTTGTAATATCCATTATCTGTGTATCCACATATCTAAACTACAGGTTGCTTGTGTAACAGTATGAGTAATTGTTTTAACCCCTTAAGGACCAAACGTATGGAATAAAAGGGAATCATGACATGTCACACATGTCATGTGTCCTTAAGGGGTTAAAGAGACTTGACTTCAAAGTTAAGGACTGTTTAACATCACCAGAACCAAAATCAGGGTTGTGATGCCTAAATAAAAAACAGACACAAAGGGACATTTAAAGGGTCATTAATTATACAATTAAGGTAATACTGAGGGAGATTTATTAAAGTGCTCTGTTCTCAAAAGTGGTGCAAAAATGTAGAAGGGCAGGAGTAACCAATGGAATGTGTCTGGTGGTTCAACTGGTTTCTATGGTGATTGCCACCTTGACAAATTTCACCCATAGTACATCAAGTACATCAAAATACGTTCACCTGTTATGTCGGTGTCAATTAATTTTTTCCCAGACGGTATTGGTGGGTTTACTAGGGTGAAGTATGCAGGGGAGGTAAGTTTAAAACACATGTATAGAATATTAATTGGTACTGACATGCTCCATGCTGTGTGCCAAGATTTGGCCTCCGTTAAATATTTAGTTGTAAAAACCTGCAAAATGCAGAATCTATAAAAGTTCACTTAAACATGATTGTTTCTGTAAATTAGTTCATTGCTGCCCCATTCACAATAACTGTGAACAGTAACTCAGACTCTGTAGATGAAGGATCTTTGAAATATGTTTGGCAATGCTTTTTGGTGTTCTCTTTGATCACTCTTGCTGTATTATATTGCTGTAGAAATAGGTGTAGGTCGTATAATTATGTGACACAAACACAATATGCAACTAAAACAGCTTTGTAATCACAATATTGCTTACAAATGATAGAGTGAGAATTATTGTAACTGTTTCAAACAAGGTTTGTGTTTAAATATTGGGCCAAAGCAATGGAGAGCCATAATGTGTAAAGAACACCTGGTTGTTGTTTTTTTTTGCTTTCTTTCATGTGAATAAATATACAGTTAGTGTCATGTGATTAGTTTTTTTTAAATTAGCCTACAGCATAGTTTTCGTTTCATGAACCTTAAGCTTTTTGACATAGTCCTAAATCACATCATTAGCATTAGATTAGCAAACAATTATTTAATCACAAAATTAATTTACCGACACATCTTTCAATTGTAAAAAAAAACATAGCAAGAATACCTTCTGAAAGACCTCTTCATTACACTCTTGTCACAGTCAAAAAAGTCTCCCTTTACCAGGGGAATGCAGTGTGGCTACAGAGACTAACATATTGAAGGCAGTTATCTATATCATGATGAAGAAGATGCATGTAGGCACCCACAAAGATAGCATTATGATTGAATTTTGGGTATCAGTTCAATTATTAAAAACTATTGGTCAGTTTCATGAGTTCATACAATGCCGTATGGAAAACTATTGGGAAATACAATATGCTTAAAGCACAAGACCGCTTTTAAAATTTTATTCAGATACACCAAATGTGTATGTGGAGATAGATAGATAGATAGATAGATAGATAGCAAGATGCTACTAAGGAGCTTGTCCATGCTCTAGTAATTTCCCCCATGGATTATTGTAACCCTCTCCTAATTGGTCTTCCCAAAAACCATATTGCCTCTCTACAGTCTGTAATGAATGCTGCCACCAGACTGATTTCCCTCTCTAGTCGGTCCTCTCACACCTCACCCCTCTGTCAGTCCTTACATTGGCTTCCTGTATCCTATAGGAGTCAATACAAAGTACTAACCCATACCTATCAAGCACTGAGCAATCTAGCCCCTCTTATATCTCATCACATATCCATAGGTATGCCCCTTCTCGGTCTCTCCTCTATGCCCGTGATCTTCTCCTGTTCGCTGCTCGCACCATATGGCCAACTCACGCTTGCAAAGCGCTACGGAATCTGTTGGCGCTATATGAAGGGCAATAATAAAGATATCTAGATAGATAAAACACTACACTGTTAGGACTTTCAAATAGATGTAACCTTTAGCAGAAGTCCTGAGAGTGGAGTTCATTTAAAAGTTATATTTTTGCCGAATCGAGCATTATAAACATTACAGTGTTTTTCACCCAGCAATTCATATTACAATTCTATTAAGGTAATCATTTACGTTTGTGAATTAAAAATAATCAAATTAATTCTTAAAAACATCAGTGTACTGATACTTGACTGTATAAAACACAAATAATATAAAGCTTTCATAATAAAACCCTAATTGGTATAGCATAGCAACAAAGAAAAAAAACCTTTTGGCTACTTTTTATTTTAAGCATATAAATGCAACTTAACAAGCTTCAATAATAATTTCATGCCACTATGGGAATATAAAGTGCAGGGAATGCACAGATTCAAAGGGTTATTCACTATTATTATTATTATTATTATTATTGCCATTTATATAGCATCAACAGATTCTGTAGCGCTTTACAATATTATGAGAGGGGGGATGACGAATTCAAAATTCATTTCAACCTTTAGTTCAAAATAGCTATAATTAGAAATATTATTTAAGCCAATTCTGTTTGGGCCTTAAATTTGAGATTTACTATGAGTTCCTGACACGTTTCACCCTAGTGATTAACCATAATAGAATTCATTTTACACTCTTGATAAGGTGAATGTTTACAGTGTTTTGGGGAAAAAGATGTATCACTATTAACCCCTTAAGGACCAAACGTCTGGAATAAAAGGGGATCATGACCTGTCACACATGTCATGTGTCCTTAAGGGGTTAAAGAATAAAAAAAAGTGAAAGAATGACTGCAATGTTAAATTAACAAAATTGTAGGTTTCATGTACATAAACTGAAAGAATGGTTTACTTCTAAAAATGAAGTTAATTTTGAATTCTCTCTTTATTGAATAGCTCTGTTGGTGTCGGTTTATCACACTTTTTAAACAACTAGTGGATCAAGGCCTTTAGGGTCCTTATCAAGACCCCATAAATCATAACATATTGTTTGAATACGCTGGAATAAACAGTCACTAATTAATTGGAGTTGCTGAGTGGTTCTTTTATTTGTTGGCAACTAAGATATTTGTCATATTATGTGTTCTGTCTCTTGAACAGGCTAGAAATAATCTGACTCCAAGTCAAATGGAGTAACAAAACGAATGATGGAGTTTGGGCAGTCAAAAACAACAGAGGTGAAGATACTAGCTGCATTCTTTATTTGCATATTATTGCATCACGTGTTCTGTAATATCTTCTCACAAACCCTGGAAATGTTTGGTAAAGAGAACATTTGAACCAACCACTTAAACTACCTTGAATCCTAACATAAATTGTCCCAATATAGAAAATATGTCAAAGGTCAAAGTATTTTCTTCCCTGGGATGCTCTTCAACTAATTAAAGTGATTTCAAGCAAGATGCTGGAGTAGAGAATTAGAAATATACATATATATGTTGAGGTTGATACTGGCTTAGGTTGTACCAAAACTATGTTCGATCACAGTTGTACAAAAAATGAAGGGTCAAGAATGCATAAAAGAGAAAACAAAGGAAAGCAGATCTTCCTACCATCCTGATTTGAGTGGGACAGTCCTCATTTTCAAATCCTGTCCCACTGTCCTAACTTTGTTGCCTGGTGCCCTGCTTTAGTGGACACCAAGGAACTGTCCTCAACCATTATAGTGTGGTCACATCATTAGACATGCTCACACTATGTTCAGGTCATTAGGACCCTGCATGGTTTACACGTTTAGGTGAAAAACCTACACCCACATTTTGCTGCAGTTGAGTGGTATGGGAAGGCCAGAATTAAATTAAAACACATGATATTATAATTCAGTGCAGACAAGGCTAAGCCAGTACAAGCATTGCGAAGGAGTAGTAGGAGAAATAGAAACATTCAGAGCCAGGGCCGGCACATCCATTGGCACCTGTGGGCACTTTAACGGGCATTTGCTGTTAGGGGCCTGGGCCAGCTATCTGCATATATATACAGGCAGCTGTGAGCACATCTCTCTCTATATATATATATATATATAGAGAGAGAGAGAGATGTACTCACAGCTGCCTGCCTCACAGCAGCCCCAAGGGACCACAGGGACAGATCCACTCCAGCTCTCCCAACTGTAGGAAGCCTGTGTAGACAAATTAATAATATTAAGTAAATGTGTGAGTGTTTGTCAGTGAATACGAGTGTCTGTCAGTAAATGTGTCAGTGAGTGTGTTTCAGTGCATGTGTGTCTGTCAGTGAATGTGTGTGTGTCTGTCAGTGAATTTGTATGTGTCTGTCTGTGAGTATCTGTCAAATCAGTGAGAGTCTGTGCTTGTCATTAAGTGTTTGTGTATCTGTCAGTAAATGAGTGTGTGTGTGTGTGTGTTTGTCAGTTAATGAGAGTGTGTGTGTGTGTCAGTGTGTGTGACTGTCAGTGAATGTGTGTGTCAAATCAGTGAATCTGTCAGTGATGTCTGCGTGTTTGTCATTGCATGTGTGTGTGAATGTGAGTGTGTACGTGCTAGTAGGTGTTTGTCAGTGATCATGTCAGTGAATGTGTGTTTCTGTCAGCGAGTGTGTGTATGTCAGTGAGTACATGAGTATCTGACAGTGTGTTCATGTCAGTGTGTGCCTGTCTGTGAATGTGTGTTTTGGTTAGTGTGTGTGAGACAATGACTGTCAGTGAGTTTGTTAGTGTATGTGTATCAGTGAGGGCATGTTGTCTGTCAGTCTGCCCATCACACTGTCATCTCACCACACTTTCATCCCCACACCCTGCCCCCAACACTGTTATCCACACACCGTGAGCCCTCAACACTGTCATCTTCCTACACACTGCACTCCACACTGTCACATTCCTACACACTGCCCCTACACTGTCGCCTTCCTATGCACCTCCCACCCACATTGTCGCCTTCCTTCGCACTTCCCCATACTGTCCCCTTCCTACACACTCTCCCCCACACTGTCACCTTTCTACACACTGCCGGCCCACATTGTCACATTCCTACACACTGCCCTCCCACACGGTCTCCTTTCTTCACCTGCCCCCCCCCCCCATATTGTCACCTTCCTTCACTTTGCCCGCTATACTGTCACCTCCCTACACACTGTTCTCCTCCATCAGCCAACAGGTAAGAGGCAGGGAGAAGGGTTAAACCCAATTTAATTTAAACTGCTCACCCCCCAGCACGTATCCAACAGTACACACACTAAATGCACTACACAGACACTACTAGATACACAGACATGCATCCACTAGACACACTGCATCCTCTAGACACACTGCATCCACCACATACACTGCATCCACCACACACGCTGCCTACAATATACACACAATGCATTCACTACTATATCCATACATATATATCTATATCAGGCTGTGTAGGGTGTTAGGCTTTGGATTAGGGTTCTTTAAATTAGAGCCTTCCCTGAAGAGTGGAAGCTGTTCTAGCTGCAGAGGAGGGACTGACTATATATTAATGTC